TCTTCAAAGAGTGTGATATTAAAGTAAAATAAAAGAGGTTAAAAATGCAATTTCTGTAGACTTTATTTAATATTTAATTTTAGAAAAAAAGAAAAAAAAATTTAATGATAACTTTTACTCTAAAGTTTTTAAATATAAGAGGAACTCTTTATAAACCTTTTAAGACCCTCTCATTAATTAATTCATATTTTTAATTTTTTTATTAACTCTCGCCTTTTCTCTTTTCTCTTACTCTCTCTAAACTCTTAATTGAAAATTTAAAAATTATTATTTTAATTTAGTTCTTGGCAGACTGTATGCAGGTCAAATGGGTCAGTCCATTAGGTAAATTTAGAAGAAAAAAAATTAACTTCAATTTTATGAAAAAAAAAATCACTAAGAAATTTAGTATTTTAACTCGTGTTTTATTAGTTTTGTTCTAAATATATTAGTCCAAATAAATAACCGATAAATTAATTAATAAATTAAAATAAATGCTTATAAAAAGAAGAAAATTTTGGGCCACGACGAGGCAATCTGTATTAGACTAACTAATATTCGAATTTAGATTGAATCAAAATGTAATCAGGCTGAAATATTTGCCAATTCAATCATATTTTATAGATAAATCCTAACTCTTTAGATTTGATCCATTTTGACGATCTTTAATTTAATTAGATGCCGACCTCGTAAGCTGGGCTGCTAGTATTTCTCAAAAAATATACAGTGAAACATACATTTGTTCGAAATGAAAGAGAACTTTTGTTTGAATTAAATATAAGTGTTTGCCTATATACAAACGCTTGATAGAGAATGAATTTTTCTATGCATGAACGCAACTGGGTCCATTTCAAAGTGGCTTCTTCTTAGGTATGTGTGGGAGATCCCTTTGAGGGTGGCGAAGGGCCGTTTGGAAGCGACTGCAAAAGAAGCCCATATTCCCTCGACCAGTACTGGCGATGTAACGGTAATGGCCTGCAAGCTACTCTACATTCAGGAGAAGCAACAAAAATGGCAAGAATTACAAGCAGAAGCTGTAGAACCGTGAAGAGAAACTTGCTGTTAGAGAACGCCATGGATATATATTCTTTCTATATATAAGCAAGTAAATAGACCCTACTTTCTATGCTATCGTTTAACGAGTTTTTGCAGGAGATAAGATATATGAAATGTTTTGGTGGTAGGAAGAGAGGACATACACAACATTTAAATAGACCCTACTTTCCATGTTCTAAGTTCTAACACTCTGAAACTTCAATTTGACAGCGAATTCTTTGACGGTTGGAAAATTAGAACCGCAAACCTCGAAACTCCGGATCCACGTGCCCTGCAACGCGCAACAAGTGTTTGAAAACGAAGACCGCTAAAACTCTTGGTTTGAAGAAGAACAACAATTAAATATCATATTAAATTTGTGATGTTAACTTTGTAATTAATAAATTTGGTCTCCTAATCCCCAAAATTTAGGGAAAATCTTGGCCATGGATTTTCAATTCCATGTTTTTAGATTTTTCTTTTTTAACTGGAAAGGAAAAAATATATATATTAAGGACTAGGATATCTTATCCTATATGCATCATATTTTTTTTCAGGACATTAATTAAGTCACACATATTACACGATTAGTGTTCCAGTTGTAAAAGAAAAATAAATCCTAATATGCATACGAACCATATCACCATCCAAACATCCTTTGATACCTTATCATGGACCAAAACATGATGTTGCCAAAAAGAAATGTCATTTACAGTCAGTTGAAAGAGTTAAATAAGAATAAGATAATAATAAAGTAAATTTTTATCTTAATTTTATATTATGTTATTTTATTTATTTTTAAATGTTTTATGTCCATACAAAAAAATTACATTAAAAATAAATAATATAAACTTAAATATAAGAAATTCATTACACGTTCTTAATTAAACAAGTATAAAATTAAAATAAAATATTTCATCCTATTTGTTTATTTTGTCCATCAAATAAGCTCAAAATCTCATATTTAAATGACTATTTTTTTTTTACGTTTTTCTTCAAGTAATGGTGCATTATAATGATGTCATTCTTCTCACTCTTATAATAAAGTACAGTTCACAAATGCAATTATACTAGCATCAGCTATACTTATCTACAATTTTTTGTAAAATAAAAAATTACAACATATCTACAACTACGACTACTGTAGCTATTAATAGCCATTTTTTACTGTCATTTTCAGAATTCACTCTAATTATATTTTTCATATTTTAATTTTGATCTTGCTTAAACATCGAAGTGTCTTTACTACATTATTCTTCACTTTGCCGTTAACCCCATCGCATGCATGGAGGTGATTTCGCTGGAACTAGACCCATGTATCTTAGTAGAATCATATCTCAGCTTTGAACGATAGATACTGCTGACACACAAATCCAAATTACAAAACTAATATATATATATATATATATATATATATATATATATATATATATATATATATATATATGTGTGTGTGTGTGTGTGTGTGTGTGTTCTTTAGAATTTTTGAGTATTTAATAATATAGCTGTAATTAATAAAACTTAAAACTATAAGTTACTCCACTTAAGGTGACTAAAATGATACATGTAGGGGAGTAGTGTTACACAAAAATATATAAATAAATGTACTAACCAAAAGTTGGTCTAGTACAAGAGATTAGTTTTTGGCAAAATAAAATAAAGAAAAATTGACTTTCTAGCATTTCTCACATACAAATATGTGCACATACGTACCATCCACATGACGCCTACTGTAGGAAACAAAACCCTTCTTAACAAGGAAGGAGTCAACGGGGTCATTACCCTCAATGCACGAAACACGTCTCAATATTTCTTATAAAATATCCTATAAAAATGTGTGAATGATCCCCATAAGATAAGACACACCCACTCAATTAACATTGTTTTAGAGCAACATGTCTACGTCACAAATGAGAGTCTACTATATATCTTTACTTTTTAAGGTAAAACTGTATTGTTATGAGTATAATTTTATCTATTTACATGTCATGATCATAGCACAATATGACATTAGATATGGGGTTACAATCGCTTTTGTAGTGTATGGGAAAGGAATTACGCCCCGTCAGGGTACGTGCATTTGCTGTAATATTTTGAGTCTGAAAAATATCTCATGAACCTGACCCAAGGTGGTATTTCAATTATTAGACTCAATCTATCTTTTTTAATTTCATTATTCTCATGTATTTACATTTATAGTGCTCTGTTTTAGACTCTTCCCTTTATGTATAAGGAAACACGTTTTTCACTTACACATACATCTGAACTATTATCATAATATCACTCATCCCAATCCAACTCATACATAAAGCTATTGAAAAGTTGATGACTGCATATGCATAGCCGCACTTGGTGTGTTTTCAACTCCACATGCACGTTAATTTTCCTCGCTAACTTGGTCATTTACACGAGGCTCACAATGGAAGAATCGGTCGACGAGTTCGTGCCTTACTAGTATAGAATAATTGGGGATAATAGACTCGCATATTTTTTGTAATTGTAAATGTTTCACAAGCACTTTGTTTATTTTCTGTTTAGCTTTTTCATGGCTGGAAAATAGGAGCAGAGCACGAGGAGTAGAATTTCTTTACCAATGCAACCGTTGTGCATGGTTCTGTTTCTCATAACCATTCTTTTATTCAGAATTGACTACAAAAACTATCTTAAGCTGAGTGTTTACAGATATTGATTAAGATTCGTATCATATATTTGAAAATTGAAGATTCAACGCAAGCCTATTATCGTCTTGTTGGTTTCTCCTAAACATTATGTTTTCATATATTTTGTAGAAAAAATTTAGCATATGATTTCTTAAATAAGAAAAAAAAAACATAAAAAAACCTGGAGTTATTGTGATTTACTTGTTATCAAATACCCAGAAGTCCTAGTTTGAAGGGAGAGGGAAAATAGATTGTACAAGCCGGCTATTTGTCATTTGAAATACTAACTTCAAAATGTGTGTATAATCATAATATATTAAAGTCCAGTATTCATGGTAACAGAGAGCAACAAGATCCGTTGATTTCAGAGTATTATTTAATTAAGAAAAAATTTAAGCATGATATTTTAAATAATTTTAACTGGGCTATTTCATCTGTCAGTTGTTAACGGTAACAACGGACAATGTTTATACTCTAGTGACTTCCATTTGAAATGAAGCTCGAGTTGAAGGGGTGAAAAGTTTTGCAGGTCCACTAGATGTAAGTGAATTGTCATGGTTGTCATATAATACTTAAACAGTTCACGTGTATTCTTCTTTTAATTTTAACTATATTAATAAAATTTAACAATTGATTTTTATTGATTTCATTCACGTGTACAATAATATTACATAAAATATCAGATGAACTTACTAAATTTTGATAAGATTAGACTGATGGAGTGTGTGAACACAGACAAGCGAAACGCGTTTATTATCGTTTGACCCAGAAGAAATTGAATTGTACTGTTGATTTAACATATATACTCTGTCGTAAAAAACATGAAGTAAAGATGTTTATTTTATTCCATATAATTGTAATATAGCAGTGTTTTTCCCGTAAAATTTATTATTTTTAATTCCAACGTTATTTACGGTCATATGGTCATAAGCGATGGCTAGAAAGTTGGCGACATCAACAAATTCGTATATCTAATGGTAGTATTTCTGATTCTGCAGGAAAAAGAGCAACTGCATCGCTGAAAGTCATTATGGATGAGATGGGTGTCACGTTTCTCCACCTGGCTGCAACGTGCACTATCTTCAGTGAACGTGACGTATAACATTTATTTGATGCACCCAAAAAAAAAAATAGACCACAACTTTTGAATCAGAAATCAGCTAATTTCCACTTTCTGATTCTCGACTGTCAAAGAAACAAATGAATGCATGGTTTCGTAAAATTTAGCTGTTATTTGAGCAAGGACTATGAACTCTGGACTTATTGACCCATCTATGCAGCATTTAATTTTACTCCTTTTTCTTTTCTTTTCTTTTCTTTTTGTTGCAAATAGTTTTAGGATAAGAAAATAGTAGCTTAGTCTAAGATAGAAAAAACCACCTTATTCAAAACTTACTTATAAAAAACTTTCTTTTACTTTATTTTAAACAAACGAGTACATACTTAAATTAAGAATGATAATGAGTTTTAATAACAACTCCTCTATCATAGTTATTGGATAATTTTCATTCCCTTTACTTGCTACATAATTAAGTAACAAGCATTTTTAATATTTTTTATGAATTAATAAAACATGAAATACTATTATAAAATAAAATATTCATTGTAAAAATACAGTAAGGTGTGAAATTACAAACTAAATCGTTCATCAAAATTCAAATACAACACAATAAGGTATCAAGATATAATACTATATTTTAAAATTTATTAAAGAAAAACCAAATAAAGGGTCTAAATTTTCTTTTAGACAGAAAAATATTCTAAAGCTCTAGTTTTAATTCATTATTTTAACTTATATATTAAATTCAATCATATATATCGACACAGATACACATTCGAATTTCCTTAAATTATGAAAAAAAAAACATTTAAAAAAAAATCACTTAAGAAAATATCATAAATTGTTTTTAACATATAATAAACTAATATAAACACTTGCTAACTTTAGAGGCCTTCCATCTGTCGTCCCATATACTCCTGCTCTGACAGGCTCAACCGTGCAATCTGAACTAATGTGGCATGTTTAGCTGATGTGAGAGGGAAGATGCCGAGGTGTGGCTGAAGTGGATCTGCATTCAGCACTGAACTCAACTCTGGAGTATAAAATCAAGCAACAATTTTGTAAGTTAACATTCATTTCTTTATCCATTACAAATATTTCAGTACTTCAGGGTTAAAACACTAGTACTAGCTGATACAATTGTCAGTACTTCAGGGTTAAAACACTATTACTAGCAGATACAATTCTCAGTAATATCCAAATTTAGATGGTAACAACTAAATACAAAATAAATACCCTGATCAAAACATACTAAATACAGAAATATACAAAGAAGCCACCTGCTTGGAACCAGGTCAATCTAATTATGGGATACACAAAAAATTAGGCAGTTTTCCCTAGACTATATAAATACGATGCAAAATAGTTCATAGACAAATTGGGCTCAATACAGCACTATTAATATCTATAGAGTAATTGAAAGGTGATTTTGTGACTAGGGATCTCCATGACTTCTTTTTTGGGCTATATATTTGAATGTACAGAGTTCCAGCCCTCTTATTCTGTCTGGACCTTCGCGTTTCTGTAAAATCAACACCACATGAATGTGTCACTACATACAGCTCCGCGTCTACTACTACAAAACCAAATGACGAATTGTAAGGGGCTTTTCTTGGCACGCGAGACTCGTATACCCAACGATTCGAAGACATGTCATATCTGCAATGTGTATTCATCAAGTCAATTAACAGATTTACAACTTCAAAAGTTTTTTACGAGTAAACAAGCAGAGCCATCAAGAATGATGCAAAATCTCTACTAAGTCAGCGGATTGCAAGTTCAGGAAATCTAGTGCAAGGACATACAATGAAGCAAAAATGTAAGAAAGCATACAAATCAATTAGAATGCATGTTTATGTGAATATGAGCTAATTGGTTTTACCGCAACGGGCCATTTGCAGTAGACAAGCTTGACTTCAACAGTGAATCATTTATGTTTGGATAAATTTTAAACAGGAAAAAAAATTGACTATGCGGAAAGTAGAATTGATTTTTGTAAAAGTAGAAAATTTTAGGAGCTATTTGGTTTTAAAAAATGTTTTCACTTTTAATTGCAAAATATTCACTTGTTTTCAATAAGAAACATTGAAAACAATCTTTTATTTATTCATTTTTCTATACAAATCTTTGAAAACGGGAAACATTTAAAACATGGTAAACAATTTTTAATTAAAAGTGAAAATGAAAAAAAAAAAACTGTTACCAAACAACTCCTAAGCTTTCAAGGTTAACAAAATTGATTCAGAATGTATGAAGCATAAAAAATTTAAAAATATACCTATACTTACACTTCAAAAGCGATTTTCTACTTTCCCATCCAAATCTTCTAAACTCCACTTTCATAATACCATTCCCAAACACGAATCATTTTTGCGACTTCAATTCTTTCAAAATCAATTTTACCATAGTCCCAACCCAAATGGACCTTATACATAATAAAAGGGCCAAAACAGTGTAAATCTGCCAGCAAGCATTTCACTTCTGGTCCAGTAGATGACTGATAAGAAAGCTAAATAACCAATACAATTATTTAATTATCTTGTAGCATTTTATAGAAAACCCCCCATCATCCACTGCCAAACCATGGATCATTTTTAAGCAAAGTTTTTTATTCTGCTTGCCTCATTAATCCATTTGTCAAGATCCGGGGGGGATGAAAATTTGTCAAAGTTCAATGAATCACAAAACATAGTTTACACGTGCAGAAGTTACTGTGTGTTCTATTATTCCATATCCCCATGCCTGATGAAGTCCTGGCAGTTGCAGGACTTCATTAATTAGAATGACATCAGAAAAATTTATTCTGCACATTTTACATTACAATATTCATTTAAGTGCAAAACATTTTCTCTAGTGATTTTAATTTAATAAAGGAATCATGTTAATGAAAAGCATGAGGCACTACTACTGCAAGTAACATTTTTTTTTTCTAATAAAACATACATCCATAAAACTACAATTAGTTATAGAGCCTAGATACTAAGAGCTAACATCATGGAAATAGTTTTACCACTATCCTTTTGTAAAACATTTGGCTTTACACCTAAGATTGGTACAGCCCTAAACCGGAATCAACATCTTCCTAACCACTGACCTAGGTCCTGGTGTAAGTGATAAATAAAAAGACCAGGGATTCCAATAACACAGAAGATTACGCAAATAAAGAATCAGTTTGACAAACATGCTGATTAGCCAGAAAAAGTATTTGTTCACTGACTATTATACAACTTCCAGAGAGAGAGAAAGGTGCGAGTTACTTTCCTATGTGGCACCACTGCTACACCTGCACCCTAGGTGAAATCAAAGTTTAATCGTATCCTAACTGTAATCGCCTGAATTTTAACTGGACTGTTTAAAAAATTTTACATGATGCTCCAATTTGTTCACGTCAAATTCATAGATCCTACCTTGGATGGGAAAAAGGAGATAAGATGTAAGAATGCAAAACAAGAAATCATAACACAAAACATGAGAGCCTAACTATTATGTATCATTACCTTGTAAAGAAGGATTTGATGAAAGAAATATTCCTATTCCTAATAGAAGCAAGACAAATACAAAATAAATCAAGAATACCAACAAGTATAACAAGAAAGAAATCCAAAAGTATTTAGACATATAAACGAACAAGACCATATAGAAGAATATTAATTATCGATATTCTTTGATGAGTAATATTTTATTTGTTACATGTTGCATTATTCTCATAATGATTGCAATTTTATTGTGAGCTTGCAAGGGGCTTTATGGTATAAGAGCCTCGTAGGAGGTTCCGTTTGGCCAAATACTGTTATTGTTTTAGTGACATTGGTCAGTCAGTCATGGGGGAGAGTCAAGACAAGAGTGCCAGCCAGTCTGTTAGATCCAATTAGAGCTAGGTGGTGGTCCCACTCAATAGAATTGGTGGGGTGGTCATGATATAGGGTGCATATCAAGGAAGAATAAGATTATTATACTCAACCTTACATAGATGGTCATGATTAAATTTAAGCAAAACCAATATTTACCATCCATGTAAGATTTATAAATAAAATAACACAAATAACTGAATAAGGAATCAGTGTAATTAAACTCAACCCAATTCTTGATTCGGTTGAAATATGGTATCACCAGTTTAGTTAGTAAGTTACTAGTTGAACCAAACAAAAACAAACACCCACACGCATACAGGAGCACACTTAAGTTTATAAAATACGGGTACCTCTAAAGATACATTTTTAACAAGTTCAAAACACAATCAAACAACCCAAGTGTACAAAGTACAATACAAGATTACTATTACTATTACAACTATAATTTCACGACACATAATACAACTAGATTCAAGGAGGCAAATATGGTCCCTCTCTATTCATCAAATATATCCAAAACTTTCCGTTTTCCTCATGCCATTTAATTATTTTGACTGCCTAGATTTTAAGATGCTGCAATGAGTACAAGAAATTACCTATGAAGCATGGATACATTTCTTGTCTGAAGTGCTTTGGTGTCGGTCATGTGTCCTACACCAAAAGCTCCAAACACTAGTTCAACACTCCTCATTACATGTTTAATTTATTAAAATAAAATAAAATTGTCAGCTTAAACACTTTGGATACTTGAGCTGACACTTTAAACACACCGACATTATTAAAAAAAATTAACTTTTCAAAGATTTACTATAAAATTAAAATAAAACATAAAAAAATAGCCCCTCTTACTGTTTTTTTGCAAGGTTCATTATCAATTAGCATAAAATAAATACAAAAGTTAGCGTGTTGGTTTGAGAACGTGACTGTCTTTCTCTGAAAGGTGCCTATGTCCTGTAATTTATACATTAGCCATGTTGCAATATGCATGTCAGTGTCGTGTCTGTGCTTTATATAGGAAATGGCCAAGGGCCCAAAGAGAGGAGTACAGCTCAGAGGTAAAACCTAACCCAAGGAAAATCAACACTCACTTCAGTCCAAGCCACACAAACCAAGAAACACAGCAGAGAACACGTGATCAGCAGAACACGGAACCAGAAACAGGGAAAGTAAAACAATCACATATAGAATTTTTTATCAAAATTGAATCAGCATCGCCAAGATGCACCTTATTGCAGTGTCCTAGTCCCTGGATGGAGACGATTTTGAAAAGGTAAAAGGAGAAATTAGGTTTGAGTTTGCTGAACTGGGAGGTTTAAGTCTAGGAGTGTGAAATTTTCTTGGCAAGACTGAGTATTATTTTGTTCTGCCCAGTCCACAAGCATGCTTTTGGTTAAATTTGAGAATACCTCGAAATGCAGATTCAGTGCGCTTTTGTTCATCCCTGATTTCAGAAAGTTGGGTTCTCACCTGGGAACAGGATCACAGAACCCAACCCAACACAACACATGGAATGTACAATTCTATGACCTGGAGTGTGATCTCTCACTGCCATACAGAAACAACTGTCTACAAAGAATGTCTCAAAAAATAGAAAAAAAAAAAGAGCTACAATTGAGGTATAATGACGGATCGAGCCTGACAAAAAAGGAAGAAGTTCCCATTCCAAGTACATAGCACAAACTTGTCCAACAACACAGTGAAGCATAAATGCATAACACAATTATTATTTCTGAATAAAAATTTGAAATGTGCATTAAGAATCAGTTCAAATAACAGGACAAGATGACCATGCCCCTCACGAAACCTTTTCCTTTTATAAACCACTTATTCCGACAACGGTTTCAAAAGAAGAGCCTAAATAGCTAACGTATTTGCTCCACTTCAAATTAGCAAAACTACGATATAAATAACAGAAAGAACGGCCCCAAATTAGTATGTTAACCAGCCATTTCTTAACCCAGCACCAAAATTCAACAACAACAAACAGGATAGTTTATCTACATCATATACACATTACATTACTCAGCCCTAATCAAAACCACATGAATGAACATTGCTCGCAACAAATAACTCATTTATAATTTCACACACTAACAACACCCTGAGTCCCTAAACACTTACTCATTAACCAATCAATCAGTCATGAATTCATACAATTGAAGAAAGAAAGAAAGAAAGAAAGAAGAAAGTACCTCAAAATCTCATTCCCATCGAGCATGAAAACCGCGGGACAGCCACGGTCCTCAGCCACAACAATCTTCCCAACCCTAACCATCTCTCCATCCCCCCACATATCCCCAACCTCACGCCACGGGCCACCCTCTACTCCCATCACCACCGCATCCCTATAATATTCATCCACCGGAAACACCCCGGAAATAGTTCTGGAGGCGCCGTACCCTCCCATCACCCAAAACTCCCTCCCCTCCTCACCCACGAACCCCACACAGCCCGCACGAAACCCCGGAAGAGGATCCAAAGCCACCCAACGGTCCCTCCCAACATCGTACCGCTCCACCGACCGAATCCTGGTCCCAGCAGCACCAAACATGGTGTGTCGCGACCCCCCACCGGCCACCAGAATATGCCCTCTGTGAGGAACAGCAGCACATGCGAAGCTTCCACGCGGGGAGAGCATAGGAGCGCGTGACTCCCACGAAAAATCATGGAAGTTGAAGCGAAAAGTGGAGGACGTGGGAGAGGGACGATCGATGGGGAAGGAGCGCGTGTCGAAGAGGGAACCACCGAGAACGTATATATGAGGGCCGAAAGAAACAGCAGCGAAGTTACAGAGACCATAAACGGAAGGGTTACAAGGCATGGGAGGGAGAGGGCACCATGCGAGTGCGTTTGGATCGAATAGAAAAGGGGAAGCGATTGAAGGGTCTTGTGGGAATATGCAGAGAAGGTGATTGTTGCGTTTTAGAGATGTTAGAAAGGACTTCGAGGAGAGAAGCACTTTCCATGATTTGCATGTTCCTTTGAGCCTTCCGTGGTGGGAATATGGTACCTTTGAGAGGATCAATGCTGCGACGTCGTTTGGGAGACCTGGCAGGATCAGCGTTCCGTTCCCTCCCACACCGCCACCCACACCGCCACCGGACTCCGATTCCAAATTCATTCTCTCTTTTCTGCTCTGTCAACGCTCCCTTTTCATTTCCACTATTTCGCTATCGCTATCGCTTTTTTATAACTCTTTTCCCGTTTTCTTTTTCCGCAAGACTCTGCTTCTCCACCACTTACATTTTCCTACAAACAAATAATAATATTTATTAAGTCGAGATAAATTATTTTATACTTCATTTTAAGTTCAGTTTTTATATAATTACGTTTATTTGTTACATTATCTTTTAATATAATTTGTTAAAAAGTATATTTAAATTAATGTAATTAATTATAAATTTTATATTCAATTGAGATTAAATTTAATTATGTAGGTATGCAGACCCAATCCCGTTTTTATCAAGAATGTAAAATACACCTTGGCAATGTAGCCGTACGCAAAACTGACAATTTTAGGCTTGAAAAAATATAGGATAACGTAAACACGCCAAACATTTATGCTGTCGGCACATTTCAAATAGCAGCATGCTACTAGAGAAAAAAAAAACATTTTCAACATCTCCGAACATTTTATGCACACTTCAAATCTTGAGGTTGTGTTATGCCACGTTCATTTTTTAAGAGCAATATAAATTAATTTATAGGTTACTGTTTTGAATTATCAAGTATGTAGGATATTTTCACGGTCATAGGTACTAGGAGTTAAATGGACCATGCTTATCAATAGCACTGTGAGATTAATGGGCTTAGAATATCGAAACTCTAACCTTTTTATAAGTTGGGCTAAAACGGGCTTCAAGCATGCGTTTGTTCTAGAGCTAGCTAGTCTATAGAGAAATATACGCATACCAACAAAAAAAAAAAAGTGAAAGAGACAAAATGTAGATGAAAATGACAGATTCCATATAAGAATATTCTTGTTATTTGTCGTATGACACTATCTTTTTTTCCCTAATATATATGTTAACAAAATGTGTGTAATTTGAGAGAGAGATTTCTAAAAGTCATTCGCAAATAGAAAATATATTTTAGAAACAAATTTTTATTTTCTGAAAATTTAATTTTATAAATCACTTGCATGCAAATAAATTATGAAATTTAATTTTCTAAAGACATTAAAAACACTTTTAAAAATCAAATTCCAAAATTCACAATAAAAGGATGATGAAAATAAAACAAAAATTTAACGAATAACAATCCCAAACATGTAAATATACCTCTGTACCCTATATTCACTTATGTCTTTACTTTTTTCATTGGAATTTTTCTAAACACCTCTCTCTCTCTCTCTATTTGGTATCTTCTGAAAATAAAATGTTACTTATTTGTGGATTCAGCATTATCACATAAGTAAATTAAATTATTATATGATAATGCTATTATATATTTAAATTAAATTATTATATAATTTATTAATACTAAGGCCGTACAAAAAATAACCCTGATCAATTTAAATAATTAAATTTGATTGAATGTTTAATAAATCGAAGTTAAATAAATTACGAAAGTGGTTTGCAGCGAGAATAATATATAGTTTCATCGTTTATTACGAGGACAGTTGTGTAACGCGTTGCGAGTGCAAAAGCATTTAATTAGCTTTTTGAGGTCTTAATAAAAGTAAATCTTCTGATTGCATAGGTATTATCTCCTTTCCTCCCTTGTTTTGTTGTTACAACGAGACTATTATTACATCGGCTAGCTTTTTCATAGACTACTAAAATTAGTTAATAGCCAGAGATTTGGATAATTTATAAGAGCCTGTTTAATTTGAATATCTGCCTAAAAATTGGATAATTTAGACTAAAACCATTATTACTCTTTTGAATAGAACTAAACACCATATATTTAATCCTCTTCACTAACTGTTTGTTAACTTTAAACCTGAGTTTAACTATTTTAAAATAAACAAAAAATATATTAAAAATCTATTTCTTATGTTAAAAATATAATTAATCTTTTTTAATAAAATTTTACTGTTATTAATTATTAAACTTATGACAATTGTACCAAAAAATCAACATATTCTCTTCAGTAAATGTTGATCCTATATTTAAATTCAAGTTAGTCAATACATTAAGCACACGTTCTTAACCGTTACCATGCATTCGTTTACCATAAAGTAACTCTATTACCTCCTGCAATAACAAGAAAAATGATTGTTAAACACCCATTTTTCATCGGTTTTAATAGAAATCTGTTTATAGATCAACGGCAAAGAAGTAAAGTAGTAGTATTTCTGTTGCGGGCGAAAAATTGCGTCGGTAGGATCATTTCAATAGTATATATTAATTATAGAAGTCAAACTTTGATGAAAGTCACTAGAGTGTAATAGTGTAAGCATTATATGCGAGAGGGTTTCCAGGTTAAGGCAAAAGGGAATACCACTTTAACACAGCTTCTCCATTATACTTGCAAAGAAATATCTAAATACAGTAGCTTCAGACAGTGGCAGAGATGAAGTACGCCTGCTGAGAAAGATCTTCACTTTCTGCCTCAGAATATATACAAAGCTGAGCTTCAATATCAACAAATGGATCACTTTACTCATAACCGCTGAAGTCCAAAGAAGTGAGTCTCTTGTAAGAGCTAGCTAGATCCATGATCCTTTTCTTAATTTATTAATTCTATGGTAACAAAGTCAATTTTTTTTACTCTATGGCTATTTTTTTTCTTCTCTCTACAGGTTACAATTTGGAGTGAATTAAACAAGTCTAAAAGTTCCATGGAAGGAAACTATCTGACCAGAACCACGCATAAAGGGGACAGCTTTGGCTTTGAGGAGCACATATGGGGAACTTCATGGCCTGCAAGAAACTATGCTTGTAGCTTCTGCAAGAGAGAGTTTAAGTCTGCACAAGCTTTGGGTGGTCACATGAATGTTCACAGAAGGGATAGGGCAAGATTGAGATCATCCTTATCCACATGGGTTTCTGAGTGTCCTAAACCTAACCCTAGCATTAAGCCTAACCCAACTCATCTTTCACCCTCCTCTCCATCATCATGTCTATCTGATAAACTGTTGAATAATGCACATCGTTCTCCACTTTGTAGCCCTTGTATGAGTTTGTCTTCTTCAGTACTGACCCCAGCTTCTCTCAGTGGAGAGAAGAAACCAAAACTCTCATCTTCCCAACAGCTTCCTCTTTTGAGTCCTCAAAGCAGAAGGGAAATTGAGATGAGTAATAAAACTGGGAGTGGGTTAGGAGTTGAGGAATTACAGGGTTGTGCAATGGGAGTGGAATGCAAGGTTTTCAAGAGTAACGAGCATAACATCAAGTTGGAGTTGGGAATAGGGTTGATTAAACACCCAAAGGAGAAGTTAGATTTGGAGCTACGATTGGGCCATTGCTAGCTAGCTATATATGTAGCTTGGTGCAATTTGTCAAAAAAATATCTGGCTGATCTGCAAATCTGAAACTTCAACTTTGTTTTAATTTCTTGCACCAGTAATTTTTTAATCCATTTAAGATGCTTTGTATTATATTCTGCATATGAAAGACCTTTTATTTTGTGATCTGAACTTTTCTAATTTAGTTGCTTTCTTATGGTCGAAATTAACGGCTCTCTCTCTCTCTCTCTCTCTCTCTCTCTTTCTTTATTATCCAATTCCAAGGTGCGTAGAAAACCAGTTTGGTGCAATGGTCGAGTGTTAATAATTGAAGGCCACAACCACAATTCACAAAGAGGAGGAGTTGAAACTTGGGAGAGATTCTTAATTTTCATAGTTTTGTATTATAGGTCTCAATTGGCAGTCAAATTTTGCTCATACTCTTCAGAAATTTTCACCTTAATTGTCTGACAGCCAACGAGTAGAGTTCTTTTTTAGTTTGACTGAATATGAATATTTAATATGATTTCCAATAAACTATAATTTCCTCAGTCTCAATCTGAAGATAGATGAACACACGTGATCATTCGGATAGCTTGATCTTTACAGTATCCATGCATTTTCCTGGGTACATGCACCAGTACTCTTCATGTTTCTTGAGGGTAGTTTCTGTCTCGTTCTTTCTTGGAAACACATGATATAATCATGTTCAAACGGGGATCAATAAGATCAAAACATCTTTCTTTTTATAAAATTCTCAATAAGATTGATTAACGTATATATAAATTCGGAAGTCATCTTATGAGATAGATAATCTAAATATTTTAAATATATTAATAAAATTTTTATAAAAAATTGATATAATTTCTAGTATATTGTCTTTACTTTATTATAGTTATGATAAGATTATTTATTCATAAGGTAATTTATACAAACCCATAAATTAATAAACAATATCAAATCTATATGTAATAAATTAACTGAACATATGTCGTTTTAAAACTGGCTATACAGTTTTCTACTATCCTGGTAACAGTGCAGTAATTCAACCACATCAGTATTTTCTCTCACACCAGATATAGCGCGTGCTGATTTATTATTGAACAGTCATATAAAATATTGGCTTATACGCTAAGAATTCACCAAAAATAAGTAATGAATCTTCTATTTAAATATAATTTCTGATACATGTGTTAATGTACTTATATAGATATACATATACGTGTTTAATAAAGCTAGAGTAATGTTATTCCTTCATTACTTTCCCATACTCTATAACTTTCTTTTATATCCTAAAGAGAAAAAGGAAACGGTAAGTTTCTGTCTTCCTTTGTGCGATGTACAAAAGAAAGATGTACAAAAATGTCAATAACAGACATTTTAATATATTTTTTAAATATTTTTTATTATTAAATAAAATTTATTAACGACAAAAATATGAGTTTATTTCTAGTTTAATTATTTTTATTTATAATTTTATAATTTTTAATAAATTTTAACTAATAATAAAAAATATATTAACAAATTATATTACACTGTTCTAATATATAATAAGGAATGTTGTTTAAGAAATTAAAATTAAAATAAAAGTTTAATTTTGATAAAACATCTATGAGTACATTGTCAACTAATTAGCTAGTTAAAGATCCACGAAAACTAAAATTTAAAATAATCATTAATAAAATCAACGATTTTTAATTATGTTAATTCATACTTAAATGAGAGTATAAAGTGAATTTCTAAAAAGTAATATTACCACATATACTTGGGGTATGATTAAGTAGGAATTTAATGATCTCGGTGATTTTGAAAGCGCCGGGGATTTGGTGGGCAGTGGAAGACGAAAACACTACGAAGTAGAAACAAAACATATATGAGATTACGTAAGCCAAAATAATATAGGAGTAGAACGAAAAGGAAGACCCAGAAAATATGTCAGGAGTCTCAGGAGGGACATGCAACCTGTTATGAATTTGATGTCCTTTTCAGATAAACTGTCAAACAGAACATATATAGAGGATAGAAAAGGGAAATGAATTTGCTTGGCTACACAGTAACACTGTGTAGCTTTGGTAGCTCAATTCGTTTTCCCTGATTAATTTATTCAAACTTGGAAGTGGTAGTTTAGGGGTCTGTAATGGGGGCCTTGTGTGTTTCCCAACGTTGGATATCTTGCATGTTCCCCATGCCATGTCTGCCTTACATACCATCATGGCCTTTCCCTAAAAATAAACGCAGTGTTTTTGTCAGTACCATCCAAAAGCAGGAATGCTACTTTCTCTCTCTTTTCATTGGTCTGTGAAAATCAGCACCCAAATATACATTAAGAAAAATAAATATTTGATCAAACTCAGTTTCAATAAAATATTAGTATTATTAAATACTTAAATGCAATCTAAGACTTTTAAAAGAATGATATAAGGGGATTACAAATGTAAGAGCACAGGAAAGGAGGTTTGAAGAATGGAAGGGTACGTAGTGCAATGCAATGATGTGACATGAGAATATATGAATGAGGAATAATGAAGGTGGGGGAAGATAAATGGAGATAAGGGTGTACAACACAACAACCTGCCAAAAGTGCAGTTCTAGTGAAAGAGGAGGAATGGGTTAAAGTAAGTTAGTCGGCGCACGTCACTTTCCTCTTCCATCCATTCATTCATCTTTCATCCTTATTTATTTACTTTTTCCAAACCCAAACTACCTTTGCCATCAAACCCCACACACCAACCCAACCTCTTCCCAAACCCAAAGAGAACAAAATCATAGCACCTTTCTCTCTTCCTTTAATGAATCCTCACCTCATTCCTTTTATATACTCCATTTTTCTCTTCTTCAATACCTTTCATGCATACGTTCACTGTTGTCAATGGGCCTCCACTACCGGGCTTATGATGACCCGCCCACAAGTATTTGGATTAGGCCATCTATTACCATGCTGATTCAAGTTCAGGGCCTATAGGCTTTGTTTAGTGCCCTTCATGTAATATTTTTTTTATATATGTTGAATTTAATTAATATTAATATTAAATTTGGCATTCTAATTATTTTATATATTTTTAAAAAGTTTTAAGCATCATCAATTATATTTCTTTTAATCTATAATATTTTTTAAAATATAAATAAATATTTGATTATAAGTTCATATTCATGTGAATGTTTAATTTATAAAAAAAACTGATATGATTAAAATTTGATTTTAATTAAATGATATTTAATATCTGATCCATTTTAATTAAAAATTGATATTTTATTGTGAATTTTTTATTTACAATTTACATTAAATTAAATCAATTTACGAACGTTGATAACATGTGAAACTTCATTACTTGTCATTGCCATGGAAAAGACATGAAAGTAAGTTTGTTATAGCTGTAGAATTTGTTTGCTTATACGGCATCATATATATAGAGACATATGAGGTGACATGAGGTCTAAAGTACAATAAGAAATACATATATAGCCTAGTCCAATAAAAGAACAAGATTGGGGAGCTTTTCATCCCAATTCGTAATTAAGCTGCTTTAATTTCTTACTAACAACGATCGAGAAGCAGCCAAACAGTGTTAATAAACACAAAGAGGAAAATGTTAGCTTAGTAAAAGACAGGCCAATTTGGTAGAGAAAGCCACGACACTCGCGTTAATGTCTTTCGTTTTCTTGTCAATGTCCTTGTCTTATATGTCCCATCTCTTCCTTTATTAACTATCTTGCTTACCAAATCATAAAAGCAATCCCTAATATCCCATTTGGTTAATTTAATATGCCATAAGTTAATATATAATGTAATAGATTTTATTTTTTTTATTTAATCTTACTATTTACGTATAAATGATATAGTAATGTAAAAAATTGAGTGAAATAGCATGTCTATTACTGTGCATATGCGTATCTCAAACAATTAATTAGAACAACATATTGAAGATACAAAAATACAATAACACTTTTAATAAAATTTATTATTTTTAAATAATTATAAAATTATTTTAAAAGATAAAAATAAAAAAATAAAAATTTAATTACCAATAACATGAAAGCTACTCAAAGTTACAGTCGTATATTAACTTTTTTTTCTTAACTATTTGTAATAATTTAAGCAATGATTTGAAATAATTGGCAGGCAAACACAGCAATCCTGCGTTACTGCTTGAAAAGAAAGGAACTTTGTCTTTCAGTATGGTAAGGGGCGAAAAAGAATGTCATTCATGCAGCAAAGAAACGACAGTTGAAAAAATATATATATATCCATTGAATTTCTAAGAAATTATGCAAAGACTTTTTTATTTTAAAAATATAAAATTAATAGTTAGAGAAGATTTAGATGAGAATTAGGCATTAAAAGAGTTATAAATAATAATTTAAAAAGAGTTAAGTTTATGTTTCATAGCAAGATAAAAATACTTTTTTTTTTCTTTCTGAGTTCTGTTGGGATTTGAGTGGTGACATTAGGGTTCACCGTGAAGTGAGCTTGAAGTCATTCTTGACGATAAGATAAAATGGAGCAACAAGTTTGGAAGTAAGGAGGTGTTTGGTGATACTTAAATCCTTTACGTTGACGCAAATCAAAATTAAAATTTGTGAAATGAGTTTCTTTTTCGCTAATGTGGTAGCACAAAGAAAAAGGAGTACGTACAAAGAAGTTTATTTCGAAGAAACAAATCAGAGATTGAGGCTGAATGATCCAGGCTAGGCTTAGAAGATTTGAAGTGAGTTTCTACGGAGGATGAATATTCGAAAATGAGGAGCACAAAAAAGGGTCAAATTCGATGAGAATGAGATTGATGCATGCCAAAAACATAATGGTCTTATTTGGATAAACTTATAAATAAAGAGAAGAAAAATAATATAAAAATGAATAATTTTTTTTCATAAATTAAAAATAATTTATCTTCTAATTTTTAAAGAAGTTAAACAAAATTAGTTTCTAAAAAATATAAAAATATAAATTAATTTTAACTTATAAGAAGATTTTTATTGATTTTTTACACTATTTTTTTTCTCTTGCAAAAACTTATTTACAAGATTGCTCAAATAAGGCATAGACAGAGTCATATCTAGTGTTAACATACGTTGAATTAGGTGACTTCAAATCATTCTTGTATTAGGCAAAGTTCATATAAAAATGTGTCATATGATAATCTTAAAATTTTCATTGAATAAGAATGAATTTGTAAAGGTGATCATAGAAGAGTTAAATATTTATGTTGAATTAGATTATGATGATCTTTGTTACTTATGTCCTGAGTTGAATGTTTTGGAATTCAACTTTAATAATTCAACTTCTTAAGAAAATTGAGTCTGAAATAAGAAAAGACTTTATAAAGAATAGATAAGATTAATAATTTAGAAATGTTTAACAAAACAAATATTTTTTTTTTCTTGGATGCTAGTGAAACATCGCTAGAGAAGGAAGCTTGGCAGTTCAAATCCTAAGGAACTTTACCCAGTAAAGGAAGTCTCGCAGATCTAGGAACAAGTTTTAGATTTGAAGCTCTAAATAGGTTTATGTATATTAAGGAGAAAACATGGATGGATTTAATATCTACTAAGGATAAGGATCACGATTATAATACATTTCAAGCATTTTTTTTAAATTATTTAATAAAATTATCAAATAGAGTTATTTTTGTTAAATAATTTTTTATTTAGAAAATTGATATTAATAACCTCGTATTTTAACTCAGAGTTATTTTTGTTAGATAAATCTCGTTAAACATACTTATATATTTGTTATTTACCAAACTTATACGAGGATTGTGTATCTGTTTTGTTTGATTTCTACTTCATGAACTTATTATGTATATCTTTTATACTCACTCTTATCTCTTCCTAATGGTAAAAACTCATAGTATTTTCCTAACTCATAGCATGTTGAAATGATGTGCTGTCGCTACCAAGAGTTTAAGCTTAAGGACAAGTACAAGCTACAAATGGCAAGCTCTCTTCATCACCTTCCACTTATCTATGTCTATTGGGAAGGTTCCTTCGTGTTTCCTTGCAAAAACTACTATATACAAGGTCCTTCAAAACATTCCAAGAAGCACATAATCTTTTATACTGTGTTTCAATAGCTTTAATTGTCTGATTGAAGAAAGAGTGAAACAGAAACAGATTAAACATATTAACTTATTTAGATATATGTAAAAATTATACTTATAAAATATATTCAAAGTGATTATAAAATTAAGTTAATTAAAAAATATATAATACTTTTAAGAAAAATATTATTTAATAATTTAAGAAAAAAATTTTAAAACCCATTGTTACTCTTCCATTTGAACTTACTTTTTTTAATTTTCTTCTCTCTGTTACTTTTTGGCCTCTAACCAAACACATAACAGCTAAAGGAAGACGAAATACTAGGCAAATGTCATATTTTTATTATTTCAATAAGTACAAATGTAAGAAAAATAAAAATAAAAGAGTGGGATCACTTATACAAGATAAAATCCCTCCCTCCATGCAAACACAAAATTTCAAAAAGATATAGATAAAACAGTATAGTAAAAAGTACTTTTCTTATGTGTCCCGTCTTGCCTAGAACTGTGGTCAACTATTTATAAAAAAGAAAAAATAATTATATATAATCTAATTATATAAAAATTTATATTATCATGCAAAAACTAGGAGAGAAGTGTAGAATAAAATAGTGATCAGATGAAGAGATATAAAGGGAAAAATATAATATCATAGAAATACGTCGTATAAAAAATATACTCATTTATAAAATATGAGTTAAATGAAAATAATAACACGTTTACTGAATTATGAATTAATTTTTTAAAGATTGTTGCATTATTTATACTTACATTTTAACTAATCTAATGATCAAATGCATATTTGAAACATATAAAATAATTATCGAATTTATCATTTTATATTATCATTCCAGTCTTTTATGAAACGAATTAATATAGTTTTATCATCAACAAACAAAAATCATATTAAAAAGTAGAGTATAAACAGAACTGCAATCCTTAACACAAAAGGTTATGGGTTTAAGTTCTGTATAGAGATTTTATACTGTAGCATGTCACAGCACCCTTATGAGATCCATGCATGATTTTAACTATGACTAGCGGCACCAATTTGAAAATAAGATAATTTTTGTGAATTCATTGTAAGTATCTCTGAATAACTATTTATTTAATAAATTATTCTTAAAATAAGAGTTTGTATGATAAATTTAATAATAAAAATTATTAAAATAAATTAAAAATAACTTATTTTAATAAATTATATCAAATGATTTGTTAAAATAAACTGAAAATAATTTATGAGAATTATAAATTATTTTTTATAAACTTTTTATGTTCATAATAATGATCTAGAGAAGAACCAACACCTAAAATTTTTGGCTTTAAGAAAAATTGTCACTAAGAAATGACCTCTATATCCTGAAATATGTTAAACATCAAAACCCAGCCAGGAATATGTATTAGTCCAAACCCGTCTTACTAGTCTATCAAAAGCAGTAGATGAGAGGTAGATTCAATATGCTCACAGTAGGGAAGACAAAGAAGACTGAGAATCTTTTAAACATGCACCCTTTTTTATATTCACTTTTGTTGGGATTCTTTCCACTGTGACCTACCAAGCAAAACCAAGGATTTTAGAAGATACATAACAATGACAAACTGTGTCTTTTAAAAAGTCTTCATCTCTTGTGAGAAATAAAAGATAATGAGGAAATAGAGAATTGATTATATGTTGAACTCGTACAAAAGGTTACACTTTTATCAAGATTATCATGTATCTCTCTCATTACGCATTTGTTTCTTCCCATTCAATTCACATGATACATCATATTTTGCCACTAACACCTTTTTTCAAATGGGATCATCTTTTATTATTATTCTCCCACCCCCCCCCCCTCTTGCTCAAAGAGACAATTATGTTAAAATCTCTAAATTCTTTACTGCTCTAAGACCTCTTCTTTTTTTTTTTTTTTTTATTTGCAAATATCCTTCCATCATATAACACTTCTTTTTATAAAAACAATTTAAGAACTTACCGTATATAATATAACATGATATAATATAAAAAGTGAATTATTTAACATGTACTTAATAGTAATGATCATGCGACAATAATTTTTCTATTTTGAATTCTTACCCAAATATATGTTCGTTGGATTTCTGATGTACATCACAATAGAGTCTATATTCGAGTTGAATCGATTTTGAGGTAGAAGGCATATGTGTGATCATAAAAACTTTTGCCGTTTAGTTAATATTAGTTTAAATATAATATCAAACTCTTATTTATTTATTTTTAATTTGAATTGGATCAATTATTTGTATTTTTACCTTTTTTTTATTGTTAATGAAAATTTATTTTAATTTTTATCAATAAATAAAATTTTATTAATTAGAGTAAGAAAAAAAAGTCTCAAATTAATATATAAATTCCACTTAGTGCCAATTTTTTCATTTAATGATCAGCACTTATTGCTTAAAAAAAGCTCTAATACATAATAAACATTAAAAAATATTAAAACTATTAAATCTTATCATAAATTGTAATTTAGCTTAAACTACAAATTACAAATCAGAATAATCTTAATTTTTTATAAAAAAATGACAATGTATTCAATAAAATATAGTTTAAGTTAGATATTACATGAGAGTAAAATAAGAAAATTATTGAAGTTTAATATACATGCAGTTCCACGTTGATTCAATTTTAAACATGAAAAGCGAATCAAATCGAGCCAAAAAGAAAAGAAAAAAAAGGTTTTGCCAATACTTTGTTTGATTATTATTATTTTTATGGTTTAAAAGTATTTAAATTTTTTCTTGTACATCCACGTATCACAGTTTAGTTTGCATCATTGTTGGCCTGCTATTACAAAATTTCTTCAAAGAATAAAGCAATAAATCACAATATTCATTTTGCTTCCCTAGCTGGTGTTATAAAATGTTTGATTCATAGAAAAAATAGACACCAATTCAACGTGTTTGGTTTTGTTTGTTTTTAAATGATCTCATGAAGACAATTTAGATTTCATTTTGCTTTGTCTCGATTTACAAGTGTACGTAAATATGTTTTGGCGCTTGAGTTTAAATAAACAACACATAACTAGCTAGGTTGTTTTGATATAACAGTGAGCTAAATATCATTTTGCGCTCACTTTCCTCTTCTCCTTCTCGTAGAAGCCTAGCCTTCCTCCAATCCTACTTGTCCACTTCAAATGGATCCTCCATTGAACCAAAAAATAAAGAAGATAGAAAAATTAATCCGATTTTGGACCTTCACCATTGTTGAATTAATAATTAATTCATGTATATGATCCGTATAATGTAAAGAGAATAAGTACAAGATCAGGTAATATAATTAAACTTGTTAGGAAATCAAACCTAGGTAGATGAAAAGCAGAAAAGCCCAAATAGAATAGGGAGACAGATTAAATCAATCATAATAAAGAATAATAAAGATAAACTAATAAATAAAAAATGTATTTTTCCTGTCAGCTAGAGATGGATCCACAGCCGGCTTGTAGAATACTTCTCTAAGAAAACATCTGAGACTTCTCCACTTTACACACAAAACATTCACTTGACAGAGTTAGGTAATGTCTATGTCCTCAATTTGTCTCTTGCTGAAACCCGCTTCCACCCTCTCCTTTCTATAATACCTTTCTCTATGAGTTTCCAATTCTCATATAATTATTAATTCCCAAAACAAATTAATTAGGTCCATATCCCCTCGTTTACCATGGACTTAAACTACCCAGAAGAGTATTCCAAGAGCTCCAGCGAAGAAACTGAACGATCATCAGAGCAAAATGATGATATGGGAACTGGGAGATCCTATGGGTGTATCTTTTGCAAGAGAGGCTTCACCACAGCACAAGCTTTAGGTGGACACATGAACATACACAGGAAAGAAAGAGCCAACAAGAACAAACCCAGTTTTGTACCTCCTTCCACCTCAAGCAAAGTTGATGACAACAACTATTCAGAAATTCCAAGCCATCTTGTTGGAGGGAATTGTTATTCCACTTCTCCTGTGGTAGAAACTAATAGCTACCACCATCAAGTTTATTTTCCAGCAACCGCATGTGGTATTACACCTTCCCTTGTGCAAAATAGTGAAGTCTTGTGTGTAGAAAACCAAAGGGATCCTCACCTGTTTGCACACGATTGGAGGAAGAGAAATGTGAGCTTGTATACTAGTCCCTTTTGTGTTCATGAAATTAAAGACAAGTTTGAAGACAGTGAAGAGAATGGTCTGGATTTGGAGCTGAGACTGGGTCATCATCCATAGAATTTGCGCATATATATTCTACCTATCAAGCATATATGTAGATATATATATATATATATATATATATATATATATATATATATATATATATATATATGAGTATATCAGATCGTGGGAGGGAACATTTCTCATAACAGAAGTTAATTTTGACCGTACAATCATATTTAACTATATATATACTTATGGATTATATGGTCAAATTAATTCCTTTCACCTTGCCCACTTTCATATATAAGCTTGTCTGCAATTTCTAGTCCCTATATTCTTATGGCTTATATAATATTGCATAGATAGAATGGCTTGAAGCAGCAAGAAGTCAAAGCTAGCTTGGGGCCTCTTCAAAGGAGAAATTAAGATGGGGTGCTCAGAATTCTTGTGAGGAAGGTACTCAAATAATTTTTCTCCTAAAAATGAAGTGTAGGCCTAAATCTCACTGTCAAGGATTCTAGACCAGAACTCCAGAAATTCCTAATTGATTAGTATGTGAATGTTTCTTTTGGTACTCATTTTTCTTCAGTTTTGGTACTCAGCTTCTTCCTTGTTACAATTACAATGAAAATTAGGATAAATCCTATCATTTATATATTTATATATGTTCTAATAAATCTATTAGCATAAAATCCAAAATTGTGTCCGTGTAATAAAATAAAATATAAGATTCTGTCGTTTCTCCACTGGTCCATCTGCTTTGCATTGTTTGATGACAGGTGATCGATAACGTAATTACGTAACTGCTCCGGCAGGATGCGTATTAGCTCACTAAAACCATATAGAAGGAGACATTTAGTTATATTATTAATTTCCTCTAACAGTTGTCAGTGACTCTAAGTTCATACATAAACATATATATAAGCGCAGTAAGTTGCACATTATATATGAAAGTTATTTTCTTTTTTTACGTGGTATCCAAGCAATAAACAAAATGATTTATCTCGATTACTAATTACTTCGTCTACCTCTGGTGTAAATAGACAGCAAGAATTGTCAGCGATAATTTGGTTGAACAATAGAAAATTGCTGTAGTCCACCAATCACCTCTATAAAAAAAAAAAAAAAAGATTTTTTTTTTTTTTTTGCATGGTTTTACATATTTACAGAATCATTTTCAGCTTATGTATTTCAAAATCTTCCTAGATCCTTTTTTCCTTTGTCCGTTTTCTCTCTTTCATAATTTTCATGTGAAATTAATTTACAATCATAATTTTGATGTTTAGCTTGTACAAAAAATATATTCGAGTAAAATGTAAATCTAACTTAAATTTTAAGTCCATATCTAACACTTCTATGTAGAGTAGTCATGAGTGAACTTACATTAGATTTGAGTAAAAATGCTCAATTCACAAGCAATGATAATAACATAGGTGATAACAGGGTTGGTAATATTGCTGGCGGTGCAATAGTGGCAATGGGGCGAGGGAGTGAAAGTAAGTTTAGCAATAATGGTGATTGAGAGAGAGCAGTCATGGCGAGGATAATAATATGATTAATAATATTTGTTGGGAGTGATAATGGTCACATAAAAATTTTAAAAATATTTTAAGTTATTTAAAAAATATTTTAACAATTAAAAAATATAAATCTTAAACTATTTTTATAAATTTTTCCTAAACTCTTTTAAACACACCTTCAATAAAATATAAAACATAAATAATATTAATCAAGCATTACTCATATACCGACACTCTTTCAGAACTCATTTGAGTACATACATAATACAAAAAAAAAAAAAAATCATTTTAGGAGACAATTTTAGTTGTAACTTTTACTTGTATATATATAACATGGTTTAAGGTAAGAATTCTGATCATTTAGCATTATTTTTAAAAACAATAATAATAATATTATTATTTCCTATATTTTCTATTATTATTAATTCCTTAACCCAAGAACAATTACATGTGGGTTATACATAGGAAAAGTTTAAATGAAGTGCTCCATATCAGGTAAGCAACAATACTGATCGCAACTACATCAGCTAACAGTTTGTGAAAAATGATATGTAAAGTTACCTGTCTCTGTCCTTATATTGGTCAGTATTCCTGATTCCTGATCAGCTTATGCGTTCATTGAAGATGCAAAAGAACAAAATAGAAATGAAAACTAAAAGAGAAGAACAGAAAAATGAGAAAAACATCCATGAACTATGACCGATATTTGGATATTTTCGAACATTTGAGCAGGATCATGAACGGAGCTTCTGTTTGATTTGCCCTTCAATGTACTGTACTGCTTTTTCCCCCGGACATACATTGTCCCCGGTTTCGCTTTGCATTTATTTCTTTCTTATCTGAGATATGGGTTATGCCCCGCAATTGATATCCATCTATCGTTTATCTTTTGACTCCTTTCCTGTTATGATTCCACTTTCTGTGAGTTATAAGAAAAACATTATTCTATCATCCCCGTTTTGGAAATTTTCTTCTCAGTCTTTATGCAGCACTTTTTTTCCCCTTCTAACGCAAATTTAAATAAATTTTGATGGTTCCATATAATATGTTTCATCGATTGGATGTTAGATCGTACCCGAATTACAAATGGTTTTGGGGAGATATCTAAGGATTGGCCGAAGTTGTCACTTATGTGTTAGTTCATGTAGTTTTCCAACACTCGTGTCTTAGTTCATATGTACTTACAACTGTTAGTGAAAGCGAGAGCAATTGACACTAGTCAATTCACCCTTCATATTTCTTTGTTTTGAATTTTTTATTAAATATATTTTTATAATATAGTTTTCTAATTTTTAAAAGAAATTTACTTACTAAAAAAACTAGTAAACAATGCTTTTATAATTTTCTTAATCCATAAATGTCATAATTTTTAGGAATATTTACAGGTTGAGTTGGGTTAGATTTAGTGAAAATAAAATAAAATTTATTTAAAATACAGCAGATTTGATTGGACTAATTTTTCTTAATTTTTGACATGTGATTTGAACCCAAAGTGTTAGTTTAAGTTGAGTCATTAGATCTATAATTAAAAAGTAAAAAAATTTAATATATAAAATTAAATAATTATCAAAATAAATTGAAAAAATTATCAATATTAATATAAAAAATATTGATTTGTATTTAAATAATAAATTATTTATCAAAATTCACTTTTTAAAATACACATCAAAATAAAAAATTAAAAATATTATATAATATAAGTTAGGTTGAGTTGAGTACATAAACCGAAATCCAATATTTAAACCAAATTTGATAAGGTTAATAATATTAAAACTTGATTATACAATCCAACCATTTATTTTAGGGTTGGTTGAGTTGATTAGACATACATGACCAATGAACACTTTTAATAATTTTAAAACATAATATTTAATTAAAAAATGTTAGAGATAATTTGATACCTTTTTTTCTTAAATTTTTAAATGTAATAATTTTTTTTCCACACCAATCTGCACACGTATCATAAAATTAAATTACTTTTAAAATAAATAAATAATATATATATAACTATTTATAAAAATTATAACTAATATTATATTAAAAAACAAATATATACTATAAAAATAACTTAACATAATTAAAAAAATTATCTTTAAAAATCTTTCATTTTAAAAAACTTCTAAAAATATCTTAATATAAAAATAATTTAAAAAATATTCTCGTTAAAGAATTAATACTCAAATAATCCAATCTTTTTGCCGATCCATTCCGAACTTCACATTCTCTCGACCCCTCTAATGATGTTGTGCCTCTATCATATAATTTTGTAATAACCAATGTCTCTACATCAATGAATGTCTCCTTTCTTATCTAATTCATTTTGAACTTTCGTTAGAATCTTCAAGCTCAATGCTACAATTTAGTAGTTTGGGTGGAAAACTCGAGAAGGAAGAGCTTGCAAGTGATTGATATTGTAGTACTGGACAAAGGAAAAAAACTTGTAAAAAAAGACAGAATAAAAGACGATGAGAAAATATTATTAAATATTTTTAAAATAATATCATTTTATATTTAAAATAAATTATTACATGTCATTTAACATAACAAATTATTATTTTATTATTTAATTTAAATGTTTATTAACAACAAAAAATTAACATGATTGATGATAAAATTTTAAATTTGAAAGATTAATTTGAATAACATTGCATATGTCACGATCAAAAGTAAATGTTTACTAATTTTAAAATAAAAGGCTATATTTAATTAAGATGAAAAATAAAATAAATTTAGACGATGCTAAAGTCTAGATGAAAATATTATTATGTCAACCAGATTTTCATTTTCCATGTGCTAAATACAAGCTTATACCGCAAATTGAATATGACATTACTCTTTGGGTTCAATACCTGTTTGGAACATCAAACCTTTATACACAACAGTGTCTTACAGGTAGTAGCATTAATTACAGTAAACGAGTAAATAGCTTCCTCTCGGGTCTAACACAAAGCTGAGAGTTGAATGAAAGATCAAATTACCTAGTCAGGTAGTATATTATAAGAAAAAGCACAACAAAGGATACCACAAGCGTAAACATTCTCCGGCTGGATTTGGTCTCGAATACCTAAAAGATGAGGCAAAATAATTAAAATAGATATGGATAAAACTCAATTCCAACCCCGCCCCCCCCCCCCCCCCTCCCCCTTTTACTTCCTCCCTTACAAAAATGAGCGAAAGCTGAAGACAACAAATAGAAAGGGAAACGAAAGACTACAAAGAAACGCTCCTTCGATAGCCATACAGTTACTAGTCTACATACCATTTTAAATTTGTCCATTGTGCCCGCGAGGACTCCTCTTGATGCATCCATATCACTCCCCTAAATTAACACCATCTTATCATCAAAGCATAACAAAGAAATAGCAGGAAAAAAAGCCAAGTAATTCCTATAGTTCCAGTTAACACACCATTCGATCCAGCATGCGGTTATGGCTATCCACCTCCTCATGTATATCACCTGATAGCTGTTAAAAATTCATCCATTAAGGCATAAATTTATGCTAGTTCTTTTAGACGCAGCTGCCGGCTACATTGGTATGAAATACAATTCTAAACACTTTCTAGATCTTTAAACGCTCTAGAAGGAGAAGGGTTTTCAATGACCAAATAGATCTTATAATTTTAACAAAGTTCACAGAAACTATAATGCCATTAGAGAATGAGAGATAATAATACCTCTAGTCAAAAGCGGAGAACAGAGAGGTGAACAAGAATTGAAAGTTACAACTATAAAAGCAGGCAGGAGTTGGGGGGTGGGGGAGGAGGAAGCACTTTTATTGCAGAAAAAAATTTCCAATTTCAAAGGCCCAAAGGTTACGTTTTCTGTTGGCATAAATTTCCTTTAACCTACCAATAGATAAAATATCAAGATGATAAAATGATTACAGGGCACATCAGTCATTTATATATATACAAAGAACTAAATGAGGTTAGGGTATGTTGCTACATGTCAGCAATAGTAAACTTACTCTTTTCAGCAGATTGACTCTGCCTTGCAATCCATCCAAAGCCTGCTCATTATCGAGTTCATCAATTTCATGAGAAGAGGAGTAAAGAGATGATGCTCTGATGCCACCCTCCTCGATACCATCAAAAAGGGCAACTCTATTGTTACGATTGTCTCTAAAACAAAAAATGTACAAGCCACCAAATGGTCACGTGACAAACACAAACAGGATAAATTTCCTTTCTACACAGTCGAACTGTTTTAAACAAAGGTGAGTCATCAGACATGAGACATCTCCATAATGCATGAAACATCAAGATTGATAAATAAAATAAAGGGTAAAAAGGACTGAGTATTTCAAATATCTGGGACTATAAATAATATCACCAAGATATTTTCCAAATAGATTTTAATTTTGGTTTACTATTAGGTTAAACTTTTTAATATTATCATCTGATCATTACACACTCTCCCTGCCTAAAGAGTTTGACTTTTAGTCCTTAACAGAGAGATAGTGTATAAATGTTTTATCATATTGACAATAAATCAAAATTAAATTCTTCCAAATATTAGTCTTGCCAATAGACATGCCAATAGACACTAAATAAATAGTCTTGATAAGCAATCATTTAACTGCTAGAGTTTGATTGCATTCCAATTTAAAGCAGTCTATTTAAAGCCACATAGGCTATAAGTCATCAAATGGTTTGACAGAAACAAAAACTAGCACGTAATTCTCAATGTAGGGAATCAAAAAGTTGCACCTCCAACCAAGAAAACAAATTGCAGGGCGAATTTTTATAGCATATTGCATGACATATTGCTTATAAATTGACAACTGAGACCAAGGTAAACCGAAGAAGAGAGACATAAACTAAGAAGATAACCTAAGATAACCTATAGTAATTCTCCTTGTAAAGTTGCACAGTAAGGATCGATGAGATAAAAAATATATGTAATAAATTTACCCATATTCAATGCCAGTTGGGACTTTCTAGTGAATTCCCACTGAAAATTCAGAAAAAAGAGTTTTCCCATAATTTTCTCAGCTAGGTGATTAGAGTTATTAGATTACATTCATGACACTCTCTCAGAATAAGCCGTGCACAAAATGCAAAACAGTTAACTAGTAAATAACAGCCATTATTTAAAGAAAACAATTATTGTAGAAAACTAACTATCGGTTGTATTCTTGGAGCATATGAAGCATGCTATCCAAAGAGGGGGAGGGGGAAAATACAGAAGTTGTTAACGTAATTCTATGTTTGAGAAATCCGAATGCAATTCCACATGCTCACACTCAACCTAACTTTCAAGTCATAATAATTGACCAAACATAATTAGATTCAGCTCAAGAGTTGACACCAATTCAATAAAAAGACATTCTCCTTCAGACACCACTCCTCATATCCGTTTCAGGAATCTACATGCCACCGATAACAATAGAACGATGCAAGGTTCAGTGGATTGTGGAATTTGGGAAGAACAAGTGGCACGACACTCTATCTACACTTCACCAATCCAGCTACTGAGCAAAACAACGTGTACAACAAAGTTGTACCAGACGGAAATAAAATCGCAGCTCCGAAACTGCAATTTACGAAGCAATTACACTAATCAAGTCAACATCATATTGAAATCAAAATCGTATAACCGCGCCGTATCCACGGATCTGGAGTAACCAATAAATATTGCCAAACCTAGCACAAACGAATTCAATAACGACGACGACAGTTTAACGAAGCCTCTTGAGAGAATAATTTTCAAACCAGTGATCCATACTAACCGTCTAGCATTCATGGCTTGTGAGATCGCCCAATCTCTGTTGGCCAATAACAAAATTATCGCAATTAATCAACAAATAATTATCAGAGGTGAACACAGACCCAAAGAAACGAAGAAAGTGCACAAAAATAAAATTGAGTTCCGAATGAATCTCGGAACTGGTGATCGAACCTGCGGACGCGGAGCGGGAACTCTTATGTTGCTCTGCCACTGAGTAAAAGGGAACGCAGAAGAGATGAACCAAAAGATTATGGGCCTGCTTGACCAGTGTTATTTCTTCTTTAAGAACACTTCTCAAACAGATTTCGAGTTTTTTATTTTTTTAATACCTTGTTTGGGCCCGTTACGATAATGACGCTGAAAATAAAATGAAACTTTATTATTTTTTGAAGAGGAAAAAAATAGAAGTACAAAATATAAAATATGTAAACTATTTGGATCTATATATATATATAGATTCGTTGAATAATTATTTAATTGGAATAATTTATATCTTTAATAAATAAAAATACATGTTAAATATAATCACCAGAGGATGTAATATGTATTCTTTTACTGCTCTAACAAAGTTTCATAGTTGATTCTGAGTTAAAAGATGTAATTTCTCACAATAAAAAATTAGTCGATGTAGTTTTGACAATAAAAAATACTTTAAATAAATAAATAAACAGATTTTTGCAAACACAATACATGATTCTAATGTTGATAGTCAAAGAAGGAAAAATAAATCGAAAAAAAAAACTGCAAATTTTCATTGAAGAAAAAACTGAAGTGAAAAGGTTTTGTCAAAAAAAAAAAAAATTTATAATGAAAACATGCAAGTAGAGATAAAAAAAATAAAAATAGAAAGACAATGATAGAGCATGAACAAAATTCTAATTTTGATAACAAAAATATTTGAAAAAAAAATCTAAAAAGGAAAAAAAACTATAGAATTTATATTAAAACAAAATATTAGAATATAAATATGTCAGACCATCAAATAAAGACTCTTTTTAAAAATTAACTTATTTTTATCTATTTAAGTAAAATATTTAATTTATATTTTTTAAAAGATTTATTTAATTGAATAAATTAAGTTTGAGCTTAAAAAAAATTATTAAATTGAATAGAATAAATTATTTAATGCTCATAAAATTTATAATAATATTTTGAATAAATTAAAATAAAATTATAACAAATTTTCCTTGATTTGCCACATGAACACTTGATTTTAGCCGGCTGAAAATAGAGAGGAAATAATGGGTGAAATAAGATAGAAATTAGAATTAAATAATTTGAAATTATTAATTAGATCTGAAAAGAGTTTATAGCAAATATAAGATATTTTATAATAAATTATCAATTTAAAATTGTGATGGGTGATGAGCGTCCTTTTTCCATGTGAAGGCAGGCCATGAATCCATGATATAAAGCAGGAAGAGTAAAACAAGTTACTAAGTGTTGAAGTATCGGATTCGCTGCTGCGCTGTGGAAGGTAGAGGAGAAGATGGATTCATCTAACGACGTCGCTTTGTGCTCGCCGGAGATGGAGAAGTTCCTGTGTGAGTTGTTGCTGGATTCCACCCAGCCAATTTCTGAGCGCTTCAGAGCACTCTTCTCTCTCCGCAACCTCAAAGGTCCCGCCCCTCGCAGCGCCCTCATTCTCGGTTAGTCTCTCCTCTTCACAACCCTAAATTGAAACCTCTTTTTTATTGTATCGTTCAGCTCATGCTAGCCTAGGTGATTTCTGATGCTTGATTTGTAAGTTTATTCCGTTCCAAATACGTCTTGTTACTGTATTGCTAGTTTTTGTAGTAGAATCAACTTTGCATGATGTGGAATATTGTTTAAGTTTATGCAATTCCATCATTATTATTTTCTGTTTCGATTACCTTCATCCGAACTAGTTTTCCTTGGCAGCCACCAGGGATTCATCGAATTTGTTGGCGCATGAAGCTGCATTTGCGTTGGGTCAAATGCAAGAATTGGAAGCCATCCCTGCTCTGGCCTCAGTTTTGAATGATCTTTCTTTGCATCCAATTGTTCGGCATGAGGTTGCTTTCCATTTTCTTTTTTTGTTCCCCTTTTTTGCTCTTTGCTCTTCCTTTTTTGTTTTTATTATTTTTCCAGTTTTCAGATGGTTGAGTTTGTTATAATTTTGCTTAGGCAGCTGAAGCACTTGGTGCTATTGGTTCAGATGGTAATGTCTCTCTCTTGAAGAATAGTATGGATTCAGATCCGGCCCAGGAGGTTCGAGAAACGTGTGAATTGGCTCTTCAACGTATTCAGCATTTAAAAGATGCTGGTAATGCTGCTGATGAAATGTCTGCAACTGATATATCTCCTTTCAAGTCTGTTGATCCAGCTGCGCCTGCAACCTCTGGTTCTTCTGTTGATCAATTAAGGTTTGTTGTGTTGATGCTATTAGAAAGAACCTCATGTCAACTGAGTAAATAGTAGGTTGCTAACCTGTATTCATCAATATTAGGCAATTACTTCTTGATGAAGAAAGAGGGATGTATGAGCGCTATGCAGCTCTTTTTGCACTTCGAAATGATGGTGGAAATGAAGCTGTTGCTGCTATCATTGGTTCCTTGGGCTCAAAAAGTGCTTTACTGCGCCATGAGGTTTGAGAAATACACTTTTATTTCTGTAAATTTTATCTACATTTGAGTATGGTCTGTATGAATAGTTGATAAGTCATAAGTTATGCCCTATATGCGAAGAGATATCAGGTGTGGTAAGCTGCATGGTGATATGCTAGCCTTCTTTTATAAATTTAAGTTTTTGATACTTTAATTGTAGAACTATTCTTTGGAACTGGATAGACATGAAACTTTCATTGTAGAAGTAGCCAGTTGTTCTTAAGAATAATAAACAGTTATTTAAACTTTTCTGTAATAATAATTGATGAATGTTTTATGGTTGTGACTTTGATTTGCCTACATCTTTTTTAATCTCTCAATTTTTTAATATTTTCTTTAATTTTTAGGTTGCATATGTTTTGGGTCAATTGCAAGACAAAGCTGCTTCAGCTGCTCTATCCAATATACTTAGAGATGTGAATGAGCATCCAATGGTTAGACATGAGGCGGCTGAAGCTCTTGGTTCGATTGCAGGTATACCGACCAAAATTTGAATGACATGATCCCTTTTGAATTAATATAATATATTAAAGATTTAAATGAGTGCTGTGCTTTGTGATATCGTCTTTTTATAAAAGAAGAAATTCAATAATATCATGGTGTATGGAATACGTAAGTTAATATAGAACTAAAGAGTAGATTCTAGCAGTCCAAGACTCGCAAGTAATTTTACTTTTTGGTTATAACAGTCCAAATGAACATGGATCAAACTTCTAGTCTTTCCAGTGACTAACGTTCGAGTGGGTTTGGTCTTGACTGGTCCTGGTTAAAATTCATCTCATTTGCACCGATTTAATAAAATAAATTAAGAAAACAATGTAAAGGTGTTGGATAGGGCACCTGTTAATAAGAGTTTAGGAAATTGTTTACATTCTAAAATATAATGGAAAATGCTTGTTGGAGTTGTAGATATTCTTAGAGGAACATCTTATTTTGGTAAATGAATAAAATCATTGTCTTTCAGTCTGAGATGTAAAATATTTTTCTCACCGTAACCTATATGTTCTTCTTTGAATATTAATACTTGATGGGCTATTTTCCCGTTGTCAATTGTGATAGTGATTTTCTGAGTTTGTGGTGGCAACCTGTTGAAAAATGATTGCGTGTGGGTATGCCTATTCATCAATTCCATATGGGAAGTATGAATATAGTATTTGTCATGAGCAATAACTAGAAACATAGTAAGATAAGCAAGCGCAAGACTAACATTTTACGCAACGTACCCGGAAGAAAATATGCTGTACTTGTCCTGTCCTTGGCTCTCACTCCCATGACTACTTAACCATTTATTACATTATAGTTCTGCAATTTACACTGTGCATTGTTTACATAATTATTTTGTTGCCTGCCCCTTAGATGACCAAAGTGTAGCCCTTCTGGAGGAGTTTACAGCAGATCCAGAACCTCTCGTCTCACAAAGTTGTCAAGTTGCATTAAGCATGCTAGAATTTGAACAATCAGGGAAATCATTTGAGGTATACACGAATATAGCTACTGAATAGTTGCAGATTTTGCTTCAATGTTTGTTGACACGGCTTTCTTTCTCTCTTGGTTGTAGTTCCTGTTCATGCGCACTCCAACTGTGCATTAAATGTATTCTCGTGGCTGCGCCTTTCAATAATGCCAAGACACGAAAAATGACCGGATGCATGAGAATGGAGAGACAGAGACAAACACTGGGACTTGCCAAGAAATAGAGAGCGACTGTTGGATTTCTTTCTTACAAATGATGAAATTAAGAAATATTAACCTTGTATAAACACGAATTGAACTATGGTTTTGCTAATTTATGAAGGACATTTTGTGATGAACTGCAAGCTTATACGTCTATCATGTAATTGTAGCTCTACCCACTTAAATAAAATAAGACGGGGAGTTATGTCAACATTTTTAACTGTTGCAAAATAGCAAATAAATGGATGCATGATTACTTTCTAACGATTAGAAGGCTTCTACATTTGATAACATTTCCATCTGTTGTGAGGATCAAATTGGCGCTAATGCCTGGCTAGCAACAAAAACTTGGGATGTACAAGAAACAAACCAGTAAAACATATGGTTGTCGATCACGTTGAGTTTGATTTGCTTTGTACAACCAAGTTCGAAGCTTTTATAGCAAATAGGAATGAAAATAAATTAGGTTAAGTTTTATATAAATAAGTTTGATTTATTTAATAATTTTAAAGTTTAAATTTGATCTATTATTTATTATAGGCTTTTTATTAATCATAGTTTAGACTTTTTAAAAATTTGATTTGATTTGTTAAATCTTTTTAATAGTCTATTTCGTATTAAATATTTAATAGATTGTTAAAAAAAATTTATAAATAAATTATAAATTATCTAAATAGATATATTTTTTAAAAATTATGAAGTTTATATCTAAATAAACTATTAAAAAATAATATAATATAAATAAATATATAAAATTATAAGAAAATATAGATGAAATGAGACAAACTAATAATAAATTGTAAATGAAATAACATATAATATAAATCAATATTATGTATACAGAATATGTAAAGAATTCTAACAAGTAAAATTTTTCTTTTAAAAAGTATACAGTAGAAATATTTATTACTTTAATAAAAAAATTAAAATTTTTAATTTAAGATTTTATTATTTTAAAATTTAATTAATTTAATGTTATTATATTATAATTTTTATATAAAATTATTTAATATATTATTATAAATTTTAAATAAGTTATTTTAACAGGTTTAATAGATTTTTTTAAAAAATTTAAGTTTAATCTATTTAATTAATTAAATTTTAAAAAAAATTAAATTAAATCTACTAATTAAATAGATTAAGCTATTTCCAGGAAAGACGCCGCCTCTACTATCTGCGATATTCCCCCGTTGTTATTACTGAACTAACATGCGCAATGCACCCTCCATTTCATCACCAAATCCTGTCAAAGCCCTACATGCCCTTTTCTCTTGCACCAAGATTCTCTCTTTGGCGCAGCAATTCATGCTCAGGCCATCATCAACGGACTTAACAGAGATGTTCTCTATTGCTCCAACATCACCAATACTTATGTCCAATCCGGTTCTCTTTCACTGGCCACAAAAGCTTTTGATCAAATCACCGCAAAGAACCTTCATTCATGGAATACCATCATCTCCGGTTACTCAAAATACAGTATCTTTGGTGAAGTTTTGAAGTTTTTCAGTCGCTTGCGAAACGAAGGCATTGCAGTTGATAGCTTCAACTTGGTCTTTGCCGTTAAAGCAAGTCAAAGGATGTTGCTTTTGCATAATGGGAGATTGCTTCATTGCTTGGCCCTCAAATCTAGGTTGGAAGGAGACCTGTTCATTGTGCCTGCGCTTTTGGAGATGTATGTTGAGTTGGGTTCTCTGAATGATGCCCACAAGCTATTTGAACGATATTCATATAGAAGCTCAGTTATTTGGGGTTTTATGATAAAAGGGTATTTGAAATTTTCTCAAGAATCCAAAGTTTTTGAGCTATTCTTTTGTATGACTAATTATTTTGGTTTCAAATGGGATGCTTTCACAATGGAAGGTTTAGTTTGAGCTTTTGGAAATGTATTGGCCGGGAGAGAAGGGAAAGCATCGCAAGGGGGTGTATAAAGAACGATCTTTTGGTGAATGTTTGTTTGCTGACATCTGTCATAGATATGTATATGAAATGTGGGTTTATTCATTATGCATATAGGTTGTTTGAAGAAGCTAGTTATCATAAGGATGTTGTTCTATGGAGTGTTGTCATTAATGGTAGTGCCAAAAAAGGGAGATATTTGGAAGCTATGTCCGTGTTCAAAAGGATGCTAGAAAACTCAATTACTCCAAATCCAGTGACATTGGCTGGCGCAATTCTAGCTTGCTCTGGTGTGGGGTCTTTGAAACAAGGAAAAAGTGTGCATGGCTTTGTGATAAGAAACGGGGTTGACTAGGATGTGCTAAATTGCACTTCTCTTGTGGACATGTACGCTAAATTTAGGTGCGTCAAAACTGCTTACAAAATCTTCTGCTTGATGCCAGCGAAAAATGTAGTCTCTTGGACTGCAATGATAAATGGGTACGCAATGCATGGCTTGAATTTGGAAGCTATTGCCCTTTTTGATCAAATGACACAGAGCGCTTGTGTTGTATCAGGAAAGCATGTGCCCAACTCAATTACATTCATTTCCGTTCTATCAGCATGTAGTCACTCTGGAATGGTTGAAGAGGGGAGGAGGATATTTAATTCTATGAAAGATTATGCCGTTTCTTCAATTGAGGAACACTATGCCTGCATGATAGGTGTCTTAGCTAAGGCTGGTCAATTTGATGCAGCATTGTCCTTTCTATCAGACATGCCCATAAAACCTGGTCCTAATGATTGGGGAGCTCTGTCAAGTGCATGTAGATTTCATAAACGTGTTGACCTTGCTGAAGAAACAGCAAAAATGCTATCACTTTTAAAACCAAATGATATATCTTTGCATGCATCATCGTCGAACATATATGTTGATGGTAGGATGTGGGAAATAGGGGAGATGATAATTGCTGAAGAGGGATTGAAAAAAAGTCTCGGCTTTTCCTTAATTGAAGTCAATAATAAGTTATGTGTATTTAATTTTGGTGACACACTTGCCTTCAAAAGCACATATATGAGGCACACATGGAATTCTCTCAGTAGAGAAATGAGAGAAAATGTTTTCTTATGATTAATCATTCTAGACAAATACAGGAAATTTTGTAGTCTCTGTGCTGCCGATTGTAAAAGAGAGCATATTTTCGAATTTTCATTCAGAGTTTGTCATGATTGAAATTGTTTAATGCAACAATCTTCCTTTCTCAGTAGTCACCAATGTTTTCTTCTTGAAATTGAGTGCTGATGACTTTCCTTCTATTTATATGTCATTGTCAACAAGACAAGGTCGGTAACCCATGATTGATAGTGATATCATGGCTTGGCCAAATGGTGCTGGGTTTGTACATTGAGACTCTCATCACTCATCACTCATCACTCACCATCAACGATGAGAAACAATACTATTCCGTGAAAAGGAATCAAGACTATGAGCTGCTTTAACAGAATAGCAAATTGAGTTCCACAAAATATTATCCATGTATAAGATGTTGTGTCTTATAAAGAAAGTTACATAAATAAAATATGAAAATAATTTTTCGTTAACACACGGGAGGGAGACGGGTGCATAGCTAAAGTCACATATATAACATAATAAGTCGTGTATAACTTTTATATTAAAATTTTTTTTTATATTTAATTTGAATCTTTTATTTAATTAATATCTAACAGTTATAATTATAATTTATTATTTTATTTACTATCTAAATATAAAGTTTTTTAGATTTATACTGATATAACATAATTTATATATATATATATATATATTTTTTTTTCTTATTTATTAAAAAAGAAAAATACAGAATTTAGTTATGTAAAATTTAATTACAAAAAGGATCATTTTCAAATCTTCTAATATAATAATGAAATTATTAGAATATTAATTAAAGAAATCAAAACATAAAATTAGTATGGGAAATGAAAATATTTATTATATTAAAAATAAAAAATTATCCAAAATATAATTTATCAAGCAATTAAGAATATTTATTATAAAATATTTAATATTTATTAACCAATTATCGTAAAGATTTATTGACACCTCCTAGTACAGTACATCCGAATCGCCTCAATCCAGAATGGAAATAATGAAACAAGAGAAAAACGAAATTCATAAATAAATCTAAGCAGAGAGAGTGGGAGTGAGAGTGTGAGAAAATGGCGAACCCTCAAAATCAGAAGCCATGGAAGGTGGAGTACGCGAAGTCTGGACGATCGTCATGCAGGACGTGCAAGAGCACCATTGCCAGCGAGACCCTCCGTCTCGGCAAGATGGTTCAATCCACGAAGTTCGATGGCCTCATGCCTGTAATATTATTCGCATGCCTTTTCTTCTTTCTTCTTTTCCCTTCAGTGTGCCTTTTAGGTATGCTGCAGCATTCGTATATTCCTTCTTTATTACATGTGAAGATAAGTTATAGGGTTTCTTTGATTCTTTTAGCTTTTTTTTACATGCCATAAACTTCACTGTAATGAATAGGTAATGTTGTTTAGGAATTTCCTTGCAGAGTTTTTTTTAAAAAAAAATAAAATTGTGCTGCATGTCTATTGTGTTTTAATCTGTATTTTTTTTTTTATATATATAACAGATGTGGAATCATGTTGATTGTATATTGAAGAAAGCCAACCAGATAAAAGCGTACGAAAAATTTTATATATTTCGTTAAATGTGCGTTTGTTTGATGGTTTGACGTTAGCAAGGATTTATTGTCGTTTACTACTACTGTTCTTGTAGAATTGACGATGTTGAAAACATAGACTCGCTTCGTTGGGAAGATCAGCAGAAGATCCGAAAATACATAGAGAGCGGTGGTGGCAGCGCGACAAAGTCAAACTCAAATACCATCAAAGATGCTGAATGTGTTATTGAAGTTTCTCAAACTTCTCGTGCTACTTGCAGGGATTGTGGTAAAAAAATTATCAAAGGAGAGGTTGGTTTTTAATGTTTCTCTCTGTTGTATTCCAAAGGCTAAGTAACTTATGAGAGTGTGTGTTGGTTGGACCTGATGGATTTTGTGGTTTGTAAATGGGGTCATTAGCAAAAACATGTTAATATTATCTAAATATGGAATATGGGATGATTTTGGTCTTTAATTTATCTTGTTTATCATAAATTAACCTATGGAAAATAACATATTTGGCTTTTAGTAATGTTTGGATGATGTTACTGATTTAAGGGATGAAACTATTAGGATGCATGGTTAATATTTTTACTTCCAACATCTAGTGCTTTATGTTTGAATTTGATATTCATAACCAACATTGTTGCTTTAGCAGCTAAAAGTGTTTGCTTCTAGTATTTTTTATCTATGGAGTGTTACTATTTTATTATGTGTTAAATCTTTAACAGGTGTTAGAATAAGATTTGTTACACAATCTCCTTCCATTCTAAATCTTGAGATGTTGGTTGTATGGTCGAAAGCCTTTTGGGATGGTTGGTTTATGACATCTTCAGAACCTCTATGACCAAGTGATTCTTGGTGCCCCTGTTTTTCTAATGAAAAGTTGGATTTCAGCACAATGTTGGTTAACTTGTGCATCAACTGTGTTTCTAGTACAAAGGTCTCTTGTGTGATGGGGTGTGTTAGAGATGTAATGTAAAACCATTATGTGCCTTTAACAGCTTAAACTTTTGGGATAATTGGTTCATGACATAGAAGAAGAACAACAAATTTCATAATTTGGAAATTGTTTGTATATAGCACTAGAAATTTTGGTGGCATGAGTAAGGGTACTCGCATTTTGGTATTATGAAGTCCTTAAAAGGTTAAAACTTTCAAAATATATTATGGGGATGTTCAAAGTAACCACTGATATCATAATTTCATTTTGGGACTGCATGAAATCTGATAGAGCCCAATTCCTGATTGGTCCTATTGAGCCATTGGCCCATGAAACAAAGTCATTCACTAAGAAATTGTTAGTGTACTCATGGAAGAAAAGAGAAGGAGCTGACGTGGCATAAGAGAAAGGGGTGCGGGCAGTTAAAGGAGAGAGAGAGAGTGGGATATCCATATCTTTCTGTTATTTAGGGAATGATGTGAGGTTGTGGAGGGTGTGCTGTTTTTCTGATATCTTGGGTAGAGGAAACTTAGTGGTTTCTCTATTAGGAGCATTCCCCTGGGCAGTAAGGAGCCATCCTTCTTGCTGTATTTCTTCTTTTGTCATTAATACAGGATCAAAGTCTATTTTCTTCTTCAATTCTCTGTTTCACTTTTATATTTGTTGCTTGGGAACTTATTAAAATCTGCACAAATGATATTGGCAACAAGTTTCTTCATGCTTGTTTGACTTCATCTCTTCCTGGTTGAGATTCCTAAATCTGATTGCCATTCATTTTTATTCATGCATATTAGAATTTGGCATGTTCTCAGGGTGAGATGTTTGTATTGACCCATGATCACATGTTACTGATTTTGGAATATGTCTCCTTACTGACTGTTTATTATTCGATTTTTAGGTTCGCATATCCACTAAGCCTGATGGTCAAGGTGCTAAAGGTTTGGCTTGGCACCATGCTAAGTGTCTCATGGAATTATCACCATCAATTCAAGTGGATAAGTTGTCTGGATGGAATAGTCTCTCATCTTCTGATCAATCAGCTGTCAGTGACTTGGCTAAGAAGGATCATCCTATGAGTAAGGGGGGTATGGTGATTGATTTGTTTTAGAAAGTCTGGTGTTTATTGCCATAGTGATTGAATTCTCCATTTAATTTCATTGTATGTACTTAATGTTTTCTTTTCAGGTGGTAGTGGTACAAACATCAAGGCTGAGAAGGGTAAAGAATCCACACAACAAAACACTTTCAAAGGTGGCATAAAACGGGGGAAGGATGCTGAAGGTGTGCAGAAATCAAAAGTTGCTAAGGCCAAGGGAGATGTGTTTGCAGGCAAGGCAGCATCAGTGAATAATGATAATGATCCAGGGGAAGCATGTGATCTGGAGAATAGATTGGAGGCCCAGAACAAAGAATTCTGGGCTGTGAAGGATGATCTTAAAAAGCATGTGACAACATCAGAGTTGCGGGAAATGCTAGAAGCCAATGGTCAAGATTCTACAGGATCAGAACTTGATTTGCGCGATCGCTGGTATTAGTCTCTCATGCACTTTTTACACCAATGTTGAAAAAGCTTTTCCTCATCCCACCCAATGCACTGTAAAGCTTAACATTTTCCATTCAATATGTTAGTCCCTCTCTTCTATGTTATAAGCTGCCAATGATTTTACTGACCATGAAATATGTTTATTTGTTTGTCCCCTATTATCGATATGCACTTGCATTGAGCTCTATTATAATTTGTAATTAGTAAATCACAATTTATTCAACGAAAGGAAAAATCATAAATGCAAGCAAGTGTTGCACAAGCATTATTGTTTGTATGGGACTGGGTGACAGATTTTCCAGATTCATCCTGTTTTCTGCTTTATTTGTGGTGTATTTTTAAAATATTATCCTTTAAACTAGGTTTAATTTCCCCAAGTGTGATTATTATATTGTGATTTTAGTGCTGATGGAATGATGTTTGGAGGACTTGGTCATTGCCCAATATGTTCTGGTTTTGTGCGTTATTCGGGAGGAATGTACCGGTGCAATGGATACATTTCCGAGTGGGGTAAATGTTCTTACACTACCCGTGAACCAAAACGTATTGAAGGGAAGTGGAAAATCCCAGAGGAAACAAAAAATCAGTATCTTAAAAAGGTGTGTAAGGAAGAATTTTTTGTCATAAAACAAAACCAACAGAGTATGACTTATTTTGCATACTGTTTACAGTGGTTCAAATCTCAAAAAGGGAAGAAACCAATTAGGATATTGCCTCTGTCTTCATCAGGGAATTCTGCTGAAAATCAAATTAATGCTTGCCAGCATCAATCATCAAACAGTGAAAGCTTGCAAGATTTGAAAGTTGCTATCTGTGGATTACCTAAAGACTCTATTGTATTACTTCGTTCCACTTTTCCTTTGACAATTTTCTCACGATGATAATTGAAGACCCCTCCCCCAAGACCAATCAAATTTCTCATGTTTGATTTTATAGGAGCAATGGAAATGCAAAATTGATGGCGTAGGTGGGGTGCTTCATGCAAAAGTAAAAAAAGGTATGTTGCAGAGACCAATTTATGCAAATTGGAAATTCCAAAACAAATGGAGAAATAACTATTTTGCCTCGGGAACAATTTTTTTAATCTTTAACATAACTTGTTTGCTTGCAGATACTAACTGCTTGGTGGTCAGTGCAGTGCTCAGTGATGAAGCTGAGATGCGGAAGGCAAGGTATAATGAATTCAAATTGTCAGTCTCAAATATTTCTTTAATTTGATTAATTCTGATATCATTTGACTTGGTGAATTTTCATCTATATAGGAGGATGAAAATACCAATAGTCAGAGAGGACTATTTGGTTGACTGTATAGAAAGAAAGAAGAAGCTTCCATTTGATATGTACAAGGTTGAAATGATTGGCGAGGCTTCTAGCATGGTCACCATCAAAGTGAAGGGGCACAGTGCTGTACACGAGGCTTCTGGCCTGCAGGATTCTGGCCACATACTCGAGGAAGGGAAAAGCATATATAATACAACTTTGAATATGTCAGATTTGTCTACTGGTATTAACAGGTGTGTTCGTGATGTTTTAACTTTCTTGTTCGCCTTCAGCATAAATTTTGTATAGTTGGCTAACCAGTAAATATGCATAGATGAACAAAATTGAACTGAACAGTATGCAGCGTATGCTTGTAGATTTTGCTATGCTATGCAATGTTTCATACGAATTACAAAACAGAAGACTGTGTCTATTGTCTAGAGCTGATATGTCTATATTCTGATTTATTTCTTCTTCAAAAGTTGACTGACATTTCCAGTTGGAACATTAATTGAGACTATAATATTATTTGAAACATGCATGGAATCTACTGATCACATCTCTCAAAATAATGGAATTATAAATCTGGTTTTGCTTGATCGAGGATTTATGTTTTCTACTAATAAATTGACATTGTATATCATTAATTTTGTAAATGTTTTCTTCAAAACACTTTTATACTGTGGGTCATTGATTTTCTTATTTACTATCACTCTGGGAATGTTGTGGCATTCGATTGTGTTTTCAACAGGAACAATTGCAAATGTGCAGTTGATGAAAGATTTTTAATACTGCTTCCTCCTGCACTTTTGAAAAGCCATAAAAGTTCTTTCTAGAAGCTACCTATGGGAAGCTTTTTTCAAAGCCACTGTGGACTTTTGGCTGTGAAAAATGCATTTCTTAACATATCTTTACCTTAATCTTGACTTTATCATTTCCAAATTTAAACCTGCATCTCTTAAATTCTGTTGCATCTGTTTTGCTGTTTTCAATAAATTTGCTGCACACTATTCTACATGAATTTCTGCATAACAGAAGGTTTTGAAAAGGCAGCATACTTTAACTGGGCGTTCATTTGTGCTAGCATATGCTATGTAGTCTTCCTGGAAAAGATGTATGGTGCTCAATTGTTTCTGTTGGCTGACAAATTTATACCAAGTTTGAAATACATATCATTATTGGTTCTGTCTCCATTAAAAATAGCTGCATATTATTGATGTTAAAAAATAACTTTGGGGATTGGCCAGGAAAATAAATTTTCATTTGACTTGGATCCTTTTTTCATTTATTTACTCAAAGCCTTTTGTTTTGGGTGTGATTTGTTTTTATTTACATGATGAATTCTCTCTCCTCAGTTCCTTTCTTAAGATATTGTTATGTTGCTATTTCCCTCTTATCCATTCCTATCCGCCCCCCCCCCCCCCCCCCAAAAAAAAAAAAAGTAAAAAAAGCGTGTCTCCATCATTGCCATCCTAACTTTTGCTTCCCATGTAAAGCTACTACATTCTCCAAATAATCCAGGAAGATAAGGGGTCAGGTTGTTATGTGTTTCGTAAATGGGGTCGAGTGGGAAATGACAAGATTGGAGGAATTAAACTGGATGAAATGCCAAAATCTGATGCAATCTGTGAATTCAAACGATTATTCTTTGAGAAGACTGGAAATCCTTGGGAGGCTTGGGAACAAAAGACTATTCAGAAGCAACCTGGAAGATTCTTCCCATTGGATATTGTAACTGTTTTAATCTTATCTTTTAAATTATTTCTTTGATGTAATGATCTTCACTCATCAGGTGGATATTCAACTCATGGTTGTTCCACCTGACTTTGTAGGATTATGGAGTTAACAAACAGGTCTCAAAAAAGAATAAAAATAATACAGCCAGCAAACTACCCCCTCCATTGATAGAATTGATGAAGATGCTCTTCAATGTGGAAACATACAGGTTATATAGTCAAATTACCTCTTTGTCTTATAAGAATACATTTGATGCAATACTGAATCCTAGTTTTGTAGAGCTGCCATGATGGAATTTGAGATTAATATGTCTGAAATGCCACTTGGGAAGCTGAGCAAGAGCAATATCCAAAAGGGTATGTTGATACTTATCAATATTATTATTGTTTAAAACCTTTTTATCAGCTCTCGTAGTTCTGTATTTCCTTTGATTAACTGCATCAAGTTCTCCCTATCAAAGTGAGAAATGTTTAATTTTATGTTGGTTTGCTCCCTCTTTCCAGGGTTTGAAGCATTGACAGAGATACAAAATCTGTTAAAAACTAGCAATCCTGATCCATCAATCAAGGAAAGCTTGCTTATTAATGCCAGCAATCGGTTCTTCACTATGATCCCTTCTATTCATCCACATATTATTAGGGATGAGGACGATTTTAAGTCAAAGGTGTGTATCATTTTTAATTTTGGTAATGAAACATGATTAGATCGATTCGTTTTTCCATTAGATTTCTACTTGCATCCATGACTCAAAGAAGTTAACGAGTTTTAGTAGTCAAAGTGTAAAACTCAAATATTGAAATAATTTTATATTTGAATATAGTAATTAAGAATTTATCGTGATTGTCTTGCTATTTGACTGTGGGTTTAATAACTGAAGGTTAGGAACATTCAAACAGTAACATAAGGTGTGAAATTTTTTCGTCTGTTCTTTGTTTCAGTATGTTCAAAGAATTCTAAATATATGAATGATTTAAAAATTATCTAATTCTTTCAGGACTGTTCCTGATTACTTTTGACCCTGAGTATTGGTGCATTTGACTCCCCTTCATTATAATTTAATAGTATGCCTTTCTTTTATTGTAGGTGAAAATGTTAGAAGCACTTCAAGACATTGAAATAGCCTCAAGATTAGTCGGATTTGATGCCAACAGTGATGACTCCATTGATGATAATTATAAGAAGCTGCATTGTGATATATCTCCACTCCCTCATGATAGTGAAGATTTTTGTTTAATTGAGAAATTTCTCCATAATACTCATGCCCCCACACATACGGTATGTTTATATTTGGTATAAAAGTGGATATTTGTGTATTTGTGTCTCTGGTGTGAGTTCTTTCAATTCTCACTATGTACATGTTCCCACTATTTTTGTAATCCATCTATGCAGGACTGGAGTCTTGAGCTAGAAGAAGTTTTTTCACTTGAAAGGGAAGGAGAATTTGATAAGTTTGCTCCTTACAGGGATAAACTTGGTAACAGAATGCTCCTATGGCATGGTAGGTTATGATGTTAGGTATTAGTTTACTTTTATGCTTGATGTTGTGAATTGTCCTCCCTGTGAGACTGTGACATAATGAAAGAGTAGGAAAAATTAAAGGAATGTAAACAGATGTCTTAACAAGATAAAAAACCTAACCTTCCTATCTCTAAACATCCTTCACGAAATTATTCTCAAATGTCTGATTACTCCATAAAAATCACATTGATGACTGTTTTCTGGTAATTTGGATACTACAGCTGTGGATGAAAATATGTGCAAAATTGAGTAAAATGTTTTCTTTTATAGGTTCTAGGTTAACAAACTTTGTGGGCATTCTTAGCCAAGGACTCAGAATTGCACCTCCTGAAGCTCCAGCAACTGGCTATATGGTTCTATCTATTACTCCCATCTCTTTTATTTCTATATTTTCTTGGATGTTATACCTAATAAATACCTTCCCACAGAAGAACTATCTGAAGTCTAAATATTTTGCATGCAGTTTGGCAAAGGGATTTACTTTGCTGACCTGGTCAGCAAAAGTGCTCAGTATTGCTACCCTGATAAGAAAAATCCTGTTGGTCTAATGCTTTTGAGTGATGTTGCCCTTGGAAATGTGTATGAGCTCAAGAAAGCTAAGGTTCATCTGCTTTAATTCAATTTATGGATACTGTACATGCTAGGTTTCTTCAAAGAAATAAAATAATCATTTTTTTCAGAAACACACTCAAGAAGCTGTAGAAAATGATAATTTCCTTAAAATCAGTTAATCCAAACACTAACACGAGTTTTATTTTTTAAGTGCATATGCATTCAAAATGAGCAACAATATTGCATTCAATACTGATTTACTGCCAAATGGATTTACGATAATTTTTTGTTTCATATTGATTGTCTTTGTCCTTTGCCAAACAGTACATGGATAAACCTCCTGAAGGAAAGCACTCTACTAAAGGACTGGGAAAGAAAATGCCTCTTGAATCGGAATATGTAAAGTGGAGGGGTGATGTTACTGTTCCATGTGGGAAACCAGTGTCATCAAATGTCAAGGCTTCTGAGCTCATGTACAATGAGTATATTGTTTATAATACTGCTCAAGTGAGTTTCCAGCTTGGTGATTGTATTTTTGCCTTATCATGCCAATGAAGCAAGCTAGGATATTTGTAGTTCAAATTATAATAAAATTTAGCGGGAAATTCCTAATGCCATGACCATCACCGATTTGTAGTTTTGATGTATTTATGAAGATTCATTGGATTTTTTTTTTTAAATGTTGATATTTCTTGTAGATGAATGATAGTTATGTTGAATGGCAAACTTTTATTTGATTGAAAATTTTTATTTTTAGAAACTCTTCAGTTTCACAGATGATGAAAGCTAGGGGCCTGTTTACTTTGAGAAAATGTTTTCTATTTCCATTGTTGTATTTCACTTTAAATTACAAAAATGTCACATTGTATTTATTTTACTTCCTTTTCTCTATGATTTGTATTATAGAAACGGTGCAAACTTTTATTGTTTTCACTACTTCGTATAGAATAAACAGAAAACAGAATGAAAAGTTAAGTGACATTCTTGTAACTAAAAATGCAAACATTTCCTAAAATCAAACAAGTCTTAAGGATTCTTACACAAACTCTCAGCAAGTATGATGCTTGGGTCTGTGGCTGATTAACACCCGAGTCTTTAGCTGTTCTTTGTTGGTACATTTGCACTCCTATTTGTTGAAACTTGATTCATGACATAACTGCACAATGCTCTTTCTTTTTTTTTGGATTTATTGAAGATAAAGCCTAATATATGATATTTCCTTTTCTTATGTTGGTAAACACATGCATGTGACTGATTGTGGGCTATTTTGTGCAGGTTAAGATGCAATACTTGTTGAAGGTGAGGTTTCATCACAAGAAATGAAGATTGGAAAGAAGTTTGCTTTTTTGGGGTATCATCTATACTAAGTAGTTTTTTGACGAGGACTTGTACATAGTCCATCTGGGTTTCTCTAGAATAGTCTTGGTAAGATCTCATTTTGAGTTGACTAGAGATCTTTCAACCTTTTTTTGTGGGGTGTGTTTATAAGTGTAGTCATCTAGACAAACCATCACTTATCGCAGAAATATCTCATGCAATTTGTGATCTGGTTATCTGTACAAAACCAACATTTAATCTCAAACAACTTATTATTGAGCCCTTTCCTTTTTAGTACGCGTTGCATCACTATAGGTGCTTCTATCTTTAATAACACAAATCCGTTAAGGTTTCTTTATCTCACCCCAGTCTAGTCATTTTTTTTTTTTCACAAGTACGTGTAGATAGAAGAGATTTTTTAATTAACAATATTTAAAAAAAAAAAAAGTGGTTTTTAACCTAGCTCAATAGTATTATTGATCTTTTACCCGACTTTTCCTAATGGAATAACTTGGTTGTTAATGTTGTAATATGCATAAATAGAAGAGCCATGTCCCTTGCTGTGTGAAGGGGAGGGTGCCTAGAAATTTATGTTGATGAGCTTTGGTCTGATGTAACTTTTTGTTTTATTTAACCATGTTCAGAAGAAATAAGAACTGTGATAAGAAAAATTGCCTTTATTAGCTACACTGCAGCAACTGGTTAAGGTTAAATATTTAAAATAACTGAATAGAAGCTTCCCTTGTTATGGGCAGTGATTGCTGTGGGAACTTCTTTTGTTACACGAGATATCACGTGGTCTGCATGTGTCTTGTGAAAAGGTGATGCAATTAATTAATGTACTAGCAAATGTTTATTGTGACATTATGTCATGAATGCATATAAAATCTCTCCAAGTTACTCCTTGCCTATGGCTATTAGTCGGGTTCTTATGCTCTATAACAGTGAGAACAGGTAAAATTTCAGGCGGCTCTTAAGACCCATGCATGACATGGGATTCTTATCCATATGAATAGCCATTTTTCAATGTCAAATATGACGAAGTGCTTTTGTTATTTATTTATTTATTCATTTATTCATTTATTTTGTATGCATGAATGACCCCCTCTATATTTTGTGGCTAATCTTGCATCACTGACTACTTGCTACCTACAAAATACAGCTGGTCCTTAGTCCGACGAATGTAAATGCTGGTATTTTTTACGTTAGTTATAAGCTAATTTATTATTTGTTTTGGTGTTTTCTGGAGGCTTTTATTTGGGAATTGCAATTTTATAATGGCAGGTTTGAAATTGAAATTAGGTATAATATTAAACCGTTGAGTCCAGTTTCTTGAGCGTGACTCAATCAAGGAAGTGGTAAGTTATGTACAAGAGTATTCTTTTAAAGTAATTTCCACAGAATGCAGATTTGAGTTTAGATTCTGATCACCTTGATATTATATATTAGATGAATCTATGAAGACCCTTTGAATAAACAAAACAGCATTAGATTTGAATTTCATGATACACTTGCCTTCCAAAAAGAATAATACCAATTTTGTTATAGTCTCTTCTTGTTCGGAAGTTCAAAACAAGGAGCAGAATGGTAAATATTGAGAAGGAAAACTTGAACCCTGGGGAGTGTGACCGGTTATATAGCGTTTACCTCGGTGAGAAAAGCGCGAGGGCAAGAAGCCATCACAAGGAAGGCCCTAGTCGTAAAATGCTTCTTTGCAAGTGTTTCTGCACAATCATTGGCAAGCAAAGTCATTCTCAATAATGTTCATTGGCTGTAATTAATTAAGTAAAGGAATTGGTAATGTCTATTGCAATTACTAGCTGACGGTCACACAAATTTGAGGACTTTGCATTGCTCTAAAGGCCATAATATATAATACACGAAAAGGGACAAACATTGGAGGAATGAAGTTATTGAACTTACTATCTACACCCATGTGTTCAAGACCTTTTCTTCGGATGAAAGAAACAGAAGACAAATACGATACGGTAGTTATGTATTGAATAAGGATATTGCGAACTAGAAGTACCTTGAGATTAAGTTTTGAGATATTTTATTAAATATTCTTTAATTATTTAAAGAGGTAATAAATTATTTTGGTATTTTTATATGATATTTTGTAGTTTGTTTTTTGGTTTTTTTCCTCCTTATAAAAAAAATATAATATTTAATTTCTTTTTTCAATAAATACTCTTTTAGCTTTGTTTCATTAATAGATTAAGTATAATAAATCATCGAAAATTGTTATTTGTTGACTTCTATTAACTTAGTTTATGAAAAACCTATTCATATATAGTAGTACAGCATGAAGAAATTTATTAAAAGTATCAATAAGATACATTTGTTAACAATTTTTTTTATTAAAAATTACATAAAACACATTATAAAAATTACCATAAAAATATATTAATAATATTTAAAAAATTTATTTATTTTTTAAACTATTTTTCTCATCCTCAATCAGTAAGAGACACCAAGCATTCTCTATGCTCTATGCAACTTGAGAAACAAATAAGTTTCAAGATGGGAAGCAATTGCAGGAGGAGGGAAAAAACAAATGAACAGGTAATAGATATTTGGCTGGTAGATAAAGAGAGGTTGTCTTTCATAGAGGAAAAAAAGAAAGAAAGCAAACAAGCTTTTTTCTATTTTTGAAAAATGAAAACTATTTTTAAAAATAAAATTCAACAAGTTCTATGAGCTTGTTTATTTTCTGTTTTGAAAAATAATTTGTCTTTTTAAAAGTAAAAAAAATATTTGTTAATATAAGTTTTAGTTTCATTTTATTTTTAAAAATATTTTTTTGAATTATTTCAAAATATAATTTTTAAAAATTAAAAATTAAAAATCAAAAATCAAAATAGAAACAAACTAATCCTAAATCTTCTATTTTTAGTTTTTTAAATTTATTCTTTTTGCTTTAACTTTCTTTTTCTTTTTTTTTGGGGCTTATTTCCCAAAAAAAATATTATTTTATTTGAGTTTTCTAACTTTTTTATTTTATTTTAGTCCTCTTTAAAAATATTATTTCTCTTTTTTGTCTATTCCTCTTGAAATGAGTGTCTTCAACCATTTCAATGGTGAAGTAAAGTGATGGTGGTGACACGGTAATTTTTTGATAGAAATAATTGAGTTATGTTGCTTTGTTGACAAAGATTATTGAATTAAAATGAGTTATTTAGTTAAGTTTCAAATAATTTTAAAAAAAAAAATTACTAATATAACGTTTTATAAGTCGCAATGACCTACGATTTAGTATCCTTAAAATTTGTAGGATTTGATACATAGAGATAATAGAGTTTTAAAGATGGTTGTTTAATTTAAAACAATATTTTTTTTACACCTCTAATTTACCAAAAAGAGGACATGACATCTATGATAGTTTGTTGTAAAGTTTATGGAGGAGTTTTGATTGCAATGTTAGTTCTAGTTAAGTGGCTAATGTAAGTAATAGAAGTTAAATTTACAGTGACTTCGATGGTTAACATGATAGTCACAAATTTTTGTGTAGTGATTAATGTGATGGAGATGTTAGTTATGTGATGAGAAAAGCAGACAAAGAAAATTAGAAGAAAAAATATGAGTAATATTTTTTTTATTCTTGTTAAGAAAATAAAAAGTAATTTATACAGTATCTTAAAAATTAAAATGATATTTTATGTCTTTTTACACATAAAAATAATCACTATTATTGATATTATATTAAATATATATAATAAATAATAAAAATAAATAATAGTGATCAATGTTTTTTAATTTTTAAGATATTAAAACAATTAACACGTCAATTTAAGAAGAACATAAACTATCTTCTCAAATCTATGAACATTGTAATAAACACTAAAATAAAATAGGTTTGATATATTTTTAAAAACAAGTTTGATTTATATTTTAAGTTATCTTAACCTAATTCAATATTCTTTATTCTTTTAAATTTTATATTTTTAAAATAATTATATACTAATAATAAAAATTCAAAACTTAAAAAGATAATATTTTATATATCATGATATTATATCATATTGATAATGATATTATTCATTTTAAAATATGTAATATAAAATATATTATTATTCTAATTTTATACTTTAACCTTTCTATTATTTACCTACACATAATATTAAAATTAATATTTCTATTAATAAATTATGTTACTCGTGTAATACTTCTATTATTAAAATTTTGGATTGATTAAAGACAAAAATAAACTCATTCCACTTAATTGTACAACCCTAACTTCAACTAACCATTATAATTATACTATCTTTGGTTTTAATTATAAAAAAAAATAAAAAAATATTATCATAAATTTATACTTTATTTTAGAAAGACTCATAATATTAATTAGTGTTTTATATATTTAATAAAAAATATATATCTATTTATATGAAAAAATAAATAAATCTTTTTAATACAAATATCTTAATAAATAAAGATATAAAAAGAATCTAAAAATTAATGCATTTATAAATAAATATTTGTGTATTATATTTAAAAAATAATTTTTTTATAGATAAGACAAGAGGTAATTTTTATTTATTTATTACTTCTTCTTTTATTAATCAAACATTGAGTTTGAAAGAAAACCAATTTACTTCCATGCTGTAGACCTTAGTTTAATAAGAAAATTACTTTTTACTTGTAATAATTTCATTATTGTCCTTTAAAAAAAATATGAAAATGAGCGAAACATGAAAATAAATAAATTAAAAATAGGTAATTTTTTAATATAATAATATTATATATTTAATTTTTAAAATTAATATGTATACATTACCCTAAATAATAAAAAAAATAAAAGAAAGATACTTATATTTACTGCATTTGTCTTAAATAAATTATTGAGAATGTTAACCTAGTATTTAAAATTAAGTTAAAATAAATTATAATAATATTTTAAAAAATAAATTTAATTTTAATACATTATTAATGTAAAAAAATTATACTGTTAACTAATTAAAATACATATTAAATATAATTTTTATGTCAAATATGATAAAAATAAGTTTTTATTTATATAAAAATTTATAATTAAAAAATAGTATAAAAAATGTTACACTTTCAATACATGATAATCAAACTTATTATTTTTAATATTATTTAAACTCAAGGGTTAACAAAAACCTATAAATTATAATGCTCCAGTGAGCTCAAAATAAACAGGAATTGTCGGTAGAGTTTACGGGCAGGTGGCAGTGTACTAACTCAGCTTTAGGAAGCGACAAAGAACAGCAGTTCCCAGGTGCGGCGTTCGGCGGAAAAATAAAAAACAAACTAAATAAACAATTAATTAATTAAGCTAAACCAAAACTATACCAACCCTTCAACTCAATACAATTTATAAGGTAAAAAAGAGCTACAAAGTGAAAGAAAAGAATAAAAAAACAAAAAGTATGATAAATAATGTAATATAATAATAAAAAATAGAGAGATAAAGATGTTAGATAGGTATTAATTTTGTCAAGATGTTTATAAATGAGAATTAAATAACAAATTAATTATGCACTAAACAAAGAGATGCTCCATATAGATTTCAAATGAAACTAAAACAATAAAAAACTAAAATAGCGATCAATAACACATAGTTCAAATTGGTCTAACCCATTAGAAAAACGAGTCCGGTTAGCATCTACCATTAAGAAATGTTCCCTCAGAACCCAACATTTGAGCCTCACATGTCTCCCATTCACATTTCTTATAAGACCCTTTATACTCCTTATTCCCACTGTCCCACTTCCCTTAACTCCTCCCTCTCCCATACCATAGTCCTCAGATTTTAGTTTGCACCATTTCCTAGTGTGCCCGTGTGCCTACAAATTTTATTCACTCACTTCCCTTCTTTTCACACCCACATAAAATACAACACACTCCTTTCTCTCTCTCTCTCTCTCTCTCTCTCTCTCACACACACACACACACACACTACTATTATACTATGTCTATGGCTTCCTCAAGTGGAAATGGCTCTGGCTCTCCTTGCGGAGCATGCAAGTTCCTGAGACGAAAGTGTGCAGCTGATTGCATCTTTGCACCTTACTTTTGCTCAGAACAAGGCCCTGCAAGATTTGCAGCCATTCATAAGGTGTTTGGTGCCAGCAATGTTTCCAAGTTGCTTTTGCATATACCAGCTCATGATCGTTGTGAGGCGGTTGTCACTATTGCTTATGAGGCCCAGGCTCGCATTAGAGACCCTGTTTATGGCTGTGTCTCTCACATTTTTGCCTTGCAGCAACAGGTATCGCTATATATTATTCACCTTGCAATATATTTCATCAACAGTTCTAAACTTTTATTTTCTACCAGGGATGCATGTATGTCATGGTTATTTTCTTCTAGCGTGTATTGGAACCGTGTTTAAACATGTTAATACGAAAGTTATAATCAGCAATATTAAAATAAACGTGAATTTATTACCGACTAATAGCGTGTTTGGTTCCAAGTAATAATGCATGTAGATCTATATTTATTTTAAAGTTATTAGTGGTAACTTTTGTATTAGATTTAATTTTACAGACTTTGTAACATGTTTTTAAACACACACTAAATATGAATCTAATTAAACACAAATTAGTCGAGGTTAGAGAATAGATCTCATATCGTCATGTTCATATAGCTTTATATGCTTATAAACATTAAATAAGTATCTATCAAGCGAGTAATAGGCCCAAAATTTCATCATAATATTGTCATGTTGAAGTTTAACGTTAAGATGCATGCTAGTAGAGGCTGAACTTCCAACAATTGACATTTATATAAGTCTCTCATTCATCAAAATCTCTTTAGAAATTAGAATTTTTTATCTTTCCCATTTTCCCATTTTTTAATATATGTTGGAAATTTGGAAAATCAATGAGGTCATTCAACCACACTACTCCTGTCTTTTTCTCTTGGTTGAAGTCTAGCAACCTAATTTTGGCTTCTATGATGCTTCCAAGGGCCAGTCCAAGAACGATATTTATTTCCATTGGCTATAGAAACATAAAGTAGTCAATTATTTAGGAACAAACAAGTTCTCTAATCATCTTAATTAATTCTGGCTCTTCTTCTCTTACATTTTCTTTTTGTTCAAATGCAGGTAGCTTGCTTGCAAGCCCAACTGATGCAGGTGAAGGCTCAGCTTGCGCAGAACCTGATGGAGTCTAGGAACATAGAGAAACAGTGGCCAGGGAACAATAATGTTGCAGGATTACCAATGAATAGTTCATTTTGTCCCAATAATTACATGAACCCTATATCTCCTCAGAGCTCTATGGAGTCAATTGATCACAACAGCATCAATGATGGAATGGGCATGCAAGATATACAAAGTAGAGAGGATTTCTCATTCCAAGCTTCTTCTAAGAAAAGATCATATAACAACCATGATTTGGGTGAGCTGCAAGAATTAGCACTTAGGATGATGAGGAACTGATGATGACTAGGTTAATAGCAATGCTAAGCTAGCCTTCGTTTTCTTGAAGGATGTTCCTTGATGTTGAGGGGGATATGTTCTTTTGCTAGTGTTGTATATATAATGAGAGTGTCAAGAAGAAAACTGGCCATAACTGATAAGCCTAGACTAAGCATTAGGCTTTTCTGTTTGTGGATGATCAATCCAAAAAAAATTAATTTTTTGCAGACTAGCTAAGTCTCTTTTTTTCTCTCTTTTAACTGTTTTTACCGAAATTAGTAGCGGTTAACTTTCATGGTAGAAAATAATGTGGTTTTTTTCATCTCAACTACAATAAAACATACAGTCTTAAACAAAAATGGCAAAAAGGAAGTCTATAAACTAGGTGTTGTCATGAATTATTATGCATTCTTTGCCTGTCAAACTTCAATAATGATGGTGCGTACCTTTGAATTATGAGTTGTCCCTCGCTCAATGGGAGATTTTTTTTCTAACTAAACCACACGCTTAATTGAACTTTCTGGATGACATTCTTGACATGTTGAACTTTTTGTTTTATTTATAGTGGGAATCCCCATCAAGGTTAATTTGGATTTGTTAAAAGACAAGCACATACTTGTCTCAGCTGTCTACTTTAGTGAATAGTCTCTTTCTCGTTTCTGAGGTGTTTGGTGATAAAAAGCAATGTCAACAAATTCTTTTGTTACTAAAGTTCAATTTACTGAAAAATGAATTCAAGACACTCTTCTATTATATTTGATAATTTTCTATTTTTAAAATTTATAAGGATAAAAAAAGCAACAAAGGGACCAAAAAGATATCATCCACGAGCCTCAATCATAGCATATTAGTCCATAAGTCTTCGAGGGTTATTTTTCTTTTTTATATTGCAAAAAACTAGAAACGAGGAACTGAAGTCAAAAGTGATCAAGATGCCCCATCTTCTTCAACATGTTTAGATCCAAATGCAATGTTCCCTTGGGTGCATTGATGAGACATTTTTCTAAGATTTTGTTTTTGCAAGGCAAGGGGCAAGAGAGAACTTGGATGCTATCATTATAGTTATTAAAGGCAAGCACAACACTAGGGTGAGTATATCTAATGGACCCCGCTTGACTAACAGTTAGTTTTACCTAACATTACTATGCTAATCTAATTGTAATTTAAATACACTAATGATTTTGTATTCATACAAATAGACAAAGTGTCTCCCGGATTGAATGCATGGGCTACATCACTATTTTTGTTTAACCAATTAACCTCATTCTATAATAACATCAAATAAAGAGCCTAATCCTATAAAGCATTGCACAGGGAACGTACTCGGCAATATTTTTGAAAGCGCTGTTTTCATTTGGTTGAGCCATTAAGTTGAATAAGTTTAGTGGGGTGTGTGTTGAGACACTTAGGGTGATGATCAAATAATGAAAGAGTGGTAATAATAAACAGACAGAAAGAGAGAACCGTACTACACCGAATCGATTGGGTCACGCAAAGTGCTGTTCTTGTGATCATAACTGAGCTCTTAAATGTACTTTTAAAATTAACTTGTTGGTTAATCGTGAAACTACTTTATGATTTCCTTGCATGCCACTCAAATATTATTGGCGACTTCCGTACTAATTTGGTCATAAAACTAAACATGCATTGGTGTACCTCATAAATTATTTAAGGAAAATGTTAACAAGTGTATTAAATATATTAGCAGTGAACGAATCAATAGACTTTTTTATGGAAAAATGATAACATATCTTTATCATAATTTTTAATAAAAAAATATTAACATATCTCTATCATAATTATTTATAAAAAATATCTATTTATTTTTAATCAATACTTTTAATATATTCATTGACAAGACTCATTATTTAAAATAGCAAAAATATAATTTGGTCTGAGGCTTCTTCACACACAATAATAGGTGATACCTTGAGCAAAGGAGATAAGACTTGTAGGCAGTGATCTTGTTCAACATTTTCATTATAGAACTATGGGGACCATAAGCAGAAACTCGTAGCGAGACACAAGTAGACGAAGAGCAAGGGAAATTAAAGCATTACCTAATTATGACTCCAAATTAAAATTGTAGTTCTATAATATATATAGCCCAATTGGAATAGGATTGATTCTATATCAAGGAGATAAGATCACTCATGAGTTCAAATCACCCGTTTCTAATGAAATGGAAATCTGGAATTTCAAATCATTGAAGTGCCTTTGCAAATGAATTTTATACTAAGCCTTAATTTTCAATTGTAGTCAATTTAATTGGCTTCCTTAAAATATTTGTAGCGTGTAGGAAGTTCTGATCCAAACATCGGAACTAGAACTAGCAGAAGGATCTCCTATGGTATAGGCTTCTAGGGCAGTAAAATAATGAATTAAGTGCAGGCCATTGAAAGCTGTTTTAAGTATTAATGGACCCCCTTCAAAACATCGGTTGAACAGAAAATTACAAATGAACAATAAAATAAACAGCCTCAGCCATGCCAAAAATCGATTTAATAGAAACATATATAATCAGTCCAATTAAGGCCATCAATTCCATAATTTGTCTAATTAAGCATTAAGGAATAACAAAGCAAATAAAAGAACAATTTAAAATAGAACTTTATTCACCTTAATTAACTTTAATTTAGGACTGATTTAAAGTATTTAAATATAATAAATTTTTAATTAAAAATAATATTGATTTATTTTTTATATTATCAACATCATAAATAAATTCTTTTTTGATAAAAATGCATCATATTTTTATTTTTTACCTTCATCTTTGAAAGCTTGCTTAAAAATAAATACTTTAGATCCGACTAAAACACTCAATTAGTTGCACCTGGAAAAGTAATTATTATTCCGGAAGAGCATTAGTTTAATTGGAAATGAGTGACGATGATTAGCTGAACGTGAGAGCAAAAGTTGTTCCAAAAAAGTGGAATAGAACCTCTGCTAAGCGAAGAGAAAATTTGTATTGGTCATTCCTTAATTTGATGATTTGCTAAGTAATTAAGAAATAATGAGTCATTTGGTGGAGAAGATCAGAACAGAATGCAGAATGCAGAATGCAGAATGGTGTATTTAAATTCTCGCCATACTCAGCAATTTAACGAGGTATAAATATTAAAATAACTTATTTTTTCTATTTTTTTGAAAAAAATTACTTAAAATCAACAATTAAAAATTTGAAAAAAATAACTTCTGAATTTCTATTTTAAAAATATTTAAATTATTAAAAAATTTAAAATTATTTTTAACTTATAAAAAGCATTCATTTTTATATTTATTTTTTATAAAACTTTTCTAAAATTTTACTTAAAATCAGCAATATAAAAATTCAGTTCAAGACTGTTGTATCAAAAAGTAATAAAGGTGAAGAAAGCTACGAGCCATGCGTGATAGGCAGAGTTAGATTCGTTTCATATATCATGTTGTACAAGAGAGTATAATTATTAAAATAAATATTGATTAGATAAAATTAATTACTTTTTATAGATATTTAATTTCATTAAACCAAAAGTTTGATTGAAAGATTTTATAAATAATATTACCGATTTATAAATGTTAATTAATCTAAAAATGATCTATTTGTTGAGTAAATAGAAAATTAGAATATTTATAAAATAATATAATTTGGGATGTAGTGAATGGGCAATTATGAAGTATCTGATCCCCGGGATTAGCGAAAGGACTCGACTCTATTAATTTACTCTTAAGTGGGACACACGTGCGAGTGAGTGTTCCACTTTAATTATTTCATTTAATATCCCTCTCACTGACGTGTTTTGTCTTTTCAAGCAACATGTTACTGCCTTTCTTCTTTCTCTTCTCTTCATCAATTTTCAAATTTAGCTGTAATTTTAAAGTATTTTTTATGTTATATTTTAATTCAAATTAGACTTTATTTTAATATTTTGTGAGCGACTCAAGCAAAATTTAACTACAAAATAATATTAAAAAAATATGTGAAAATTAAAACTCTACTCAAACTTTGTGTCTTAAAAAATGAAAGTTTGGCAAGTCAAGTCTGCGTTAAAAATGTATTTTAAATTGAATGGCAGAAATGAAATCGAGTTTTTTAAAAGATTGAAACTTATTGAATCACGTTTCTTCAGTATTTTGCATCATTAATAATATTTTTTAAGATTAAATTTTAAAACTTCCGAAGATTCATTTTCTTTCTTTTTAAGAACGGAAGATTTATTTTCAAGATGGTATATATGTTGAGGAACATTCTTGAGGGGCATTTTCGTTGAGAAAATATTATTATTTTTTAATTATAAAAAGTTTATTTTTATTTCAGTTTTAAATAAAAATAAAAGCAAAAATATTTTTTCAAAAAACCTGAACAACCTTTTACAAGAGATGTCAAAATGAGTTGACCTTACGTGGAGCTAAAAATAGCAAAAATATTGAACTAATGAGCTAATTCTTTCGACACCTATCCTATTTTTAAGCAGATTAAGTGAAATAAATTAAATGAGTTGGAAAGTCCTAATATTTGAGGTGGAGGCCCAAAACAACATTAAAATGTTACCCAAATCTTAACTTAACCAACTGGACTCACAGAGCGTGAATGAGTGACATGCACCAAAATCCTATACAGAAATTTGATAGAGCTATCACTCACCTGGGTTAATTAGCATTTGAGTTCTTTTGTCGATACATATCTCCCTCTACACATCACTTATAAACATTCTCCCTTGTGGACGCTGTATGTATCCACTATAACACTAAATTTTGAACATACTCAAAAGTGTGATAGCAAGGACCACCATTACAATTAAGTAGAAGCTGAATCCAATGGAAAAGGAATCTCAATGTATTTGAAAAATATGTTGACAGTCACTGAACATGGGTTGTATGATGATATATAACAAAGAAAGCATTATTCTCTAATAATTATAATCAAACACGCACTGCACCAGCCCATTAAGACAGCAGAGAATGAAACGGTGCAAGCGTGTGATGGATTGCATGCTTGGCCAATATAACCGGAACAATCTTTATGTAAACAAATGGATCAA